ACGGAATCAAAATCTATAAAAAAACATACGGAATAATTTCATCAACCAAAAAATTGTATATATAAATATATACTTTAATTTTTGTACCTCCGAAATCCTTCCAAGAACTCACTGCAGCATCAGCTACCTAGCACCATGCTAGCCTTAATTCATAACATGCAATGAAGCATTACCTACTAGCCGTAACTACTTTTAATGGGAATCCTCTTGTCATGGCAAACTGAAAAGTTCCCGGTATTTGCAAAAAATATCGAAGTTTATAAAATCTTTGTACCGATCTCTACCAAATACGGAAGGTATGTGATGAAAGCAAGACCACACACTTGTGTTTTTCTTACGAATCAGAAAGCACCGGTTTATTGCGCGGACAAATATATTCACGAGAGAATAAATAAGTACGCGCAATAAATGAGGGCTTTCTGATTCGTTAGAAAAACACAAGTGTGTGGTCTTGCATATTTATAATCCTCATATAAAGTAATATAAACAAAGAAAACGATTGTAATAGCAAGAGAAGCGTGCCAACATTTGACTAGAAATATGGTAAGTCTAAAGGGGCCCATTAGGGCATACTTGGCATTATGTATTTAATCGAATTCTATACGGCACGTAAGAAAATAAAATTAAGTTCCTTTTTGTTTTTGTATCTTTTACACGTTTCACACCCTGAGCGTGGTATTAACGGAAAGTTAATAACTTTTGCTATGCAAGAATAAATAACCAAAGCCAGTTTTATCCTGCTGACAGGGAAATAAAAGAGCGAAGGTTTGTGCCACGGTACTTGTTTGTCTCAATTAAGATTTTCAATTAGTTATTTTACCTGATAGTTCGTCTCAATTTCTACAACTGTTTAATCAACGGAACGGTTCGACACTTTTTATGTAAATGTTTAGTACCATGATATGATTCGTCTTAAGGAAGGGTGCAAATGTGGGCCTTCTGGTGACTATCGCTGATTAACTTTGTTTTTACATATATATAAATTGGGCTTATGCCGTCATCATATGGCATGAAATTAAGGTCAGCTTTGAGACCATTCCGAGATATGAGGGGGTAAAGTGGGGGATCAAAATCACAAATGGCCACTTTTTGACACTTTGATGTATTGTATGACACGTGCACTAAAGCTGCAAATAATAAAAAATAACTGAATAAAATAGCACATTGTTGATTAATAAATAGGTCAGTGACCTTGTTATATGTCCATTTAGTTATGTCAGTGATACTCTGTTTTGTGCCTAAATACCCATTTTAACCATACAATCATTTTAACCATACAATCATCATGCAATTGTATTTATTAGTATATTAAACAAATCTCAAGAAACGGATCAAAGTGAACGGGGATGTGGGGAATGGGGAGAGGTGTTACTTCCTCATGCCTTTTTAAACAATTGTATTCATAAAAGCTTAGTTGTTTGCACAAGAGTCAAACAGCTGCTACTTCTATTTGCTTTAGAAAAATGTGTTCAGCATGTTCCTGTACTACATCTCCATACAACTATGGCCTAACTGTGTACACGTTTTATAGCGCTCTCAAAACTATCCATAACGTAAAGCGTCAGACAGAAGGCAGAACGCAGCATGGTTAATTGAATTCACTTCCAGCGTGGTTTAAATCAATCAGTTAATTGTTAAAAGAAAAAAAAGAAAAAAATCCAAAATGAAAAACAGATGAGTATATATTTCTTAACCTCGATATCCAAACCACACTCAACGTTTTATATGATATGCAAGCCGTTATGTTAACAGACAAAACATCCAATATATGTCATTATTTAACAAAAACTATGAAATTTCCTTGCTTCTAGCATGCCAATTATAAACAAAGGAAAGATTGTCAAGTACTGCTTTATAAAGTACAATATAACTAACAAAAAACACCAGGTGTTGCAAAAGGGAACGCCAGTAGTTGCAAATGGTAATTAAGCGTCTTCATCATCGCTTACCTCCCTTATATAAATCTAGATCAAAGTAATAACACGTCACCAAAGGTAAAACTGGGGAAATGACAGCAAAACAAGGCACACTAAAAGCATCGCCCTTCATATCATAAAAAAATAGCATATTTTCTCTCAATTTGATAATGATTGCTGACCATAGTCTTGGTCAATCTGCATCTCTCGAAACTTCCAATCGAAATTAAACAAATGTTGGTCCAAAATGTGATTTCCCTATATAAACTATAGTAAGGTTTACCCCCTCCCCAGGGGGAAACGTGAGACCCCAGGGTCAAGAAATTCACAATTTTGGTAAAGCACCTTAAGACCCTTCTATCTATGAAGAGTATTTGATTCTACCATATCTGGGTCTCGAGAAGAAGAAATTTGAAATTTTAGTCCATTTGACCCTTTTTGGCCCTGCCCCTCAGGCCCCTGGGGGCTGGGGACCAAATCAGCCACTTTTTTTGTTGACCTTTGGCCATGGAAGGTTTCTGCAAAATTTCATTGAAATTGGTTCAGGGGTTTTGAAGAAGAAGTCGAAAATGTAAATTGTTTACGGACGCACGACTGAAGCCAGATGACGCCAGACAAAAGGCGATCGCAATAGGTCACTTGAGACAGGATGGACGACGGACAGACGACAGGTGAGCTAAAAACAGATCACAATGGAGTGGGTTCCCTCAAACAAGATGGCAAACTTTTTACCAAACAGGCAATTTCAATCAGTATTTCTACTTCTGACGAAATTAGTTCAAAAACCTTAGACCAAGACTATCCAATATATGGCAGTTACCCTGAAATTTCTAATTTCTTCATAACAGCTAAGGGTATTGAAAAGCTTCTCCTCAAGCTAGACACCAACAAAGCTGCAGGATCAGATCTCATCAAGCCTAAAGTCCGAAAGGAGCTAGCTACTAAAATATCTCCCATCTTCTACCTCATCTTCCAACGATCCTTTGATACCGGTCATGTTCTATCTGACTGGAGGACGGCAGATATTGCCCCTGTATTTACTGATGTCCTGATAGTGGACTTCAGTAAGGCATTTGACAAGGTGAGCCACCCACTTTTAATTCACAAACTTAGGAGATATGGTAAAGGAGGCAAAGTCAACACCTGGATTGAAAGATTCCTAAGTATCATGACTCAATCAGTAATAGCTGAAGGGGGAAAATCGCACACTGCCCCAGTAAGATCAGGGGTCCCCAAGGTTGGGTCCTCGGGCTGAGCCTTTATCTTTATTACATTACGACATTACTGAGGACATTTCATCGTCCATTAGGCTCTTTGCAGATGAAACCATTAAGTATCGCGCAGTAACATCATAGAGAGAGAGATGCACAATCCCTGCAAAGAGACCCTGACATTCTTAGTCATTGGGAGAGAAAGCGGAAGATGGCGTTCCATCCGGACAAATGTCAGGTCCTTTCGATCACTAGAAATAGAAACCTCCTTGACAACCTGTATACACTTCATAGACACAAACTCCAACATGAGCTTCCTCAGGCAAAATCTAAGGATATCATCTTCTGACATCAAAGAAAAGATGTATAGTTCGCCCTTAACTGGAATACGCTAGTCCAGTTTGGGACACATACCTGACAAAAGACACTTACAAGATATAGATAGTTCAGTGCAGGGCTGCCCGTTATGTTACCGATCGACATCGTAACACCTCAAGCTTTGGTTACATAATAGATCGCCATAAATGGTGCAGTCTTGCTGATTGTAGAAAAGATGCACGGCTGACCATGCTCTACAAAATATGCCATAGCAAAGCTGCCATCAACCCCAAACAGCTGGTTCCCACTATGAGACAATCGAGGCAAGGTCATCAAAATTATGTCCGCACTATCTCCTGTAGGACGTCTGTGAAGAAAGAATCCTTCTTTCCCCGACAAACATTGATAGGAACACACTTCCACCTGAAATATCATCAGCAGACACCCTATTCTCTTTCAAATCAGCAATCTCCTCCTTCAAGATTAAATTCTGTTCCTTTCCTTTTCATGCCACAACCATATATGAAAAAGTCTTCAATCAATTGAGGTAGGCCATTATCTGGTAGAAATAGAAGTAGACTACCTTCACAGTACACACAGAGCCCTTTGTTCTTTTCATCTGTCTGTCCAGCCACAGAAGATTCCATGTTGCACCTTTGGTCACTGAACATTACTGAACATCCAAATGAATACGGCATGGATTATGATGGGAATGCATTGATCCATCCACAAAGTACTCTTGTTAAATGATGGTTTAATTACTTTGAACTTTGACCCCAAAGTCAATAGGCTTTATAAACCCAAATATTGATAGGTTCCTTCTTAAAACCTGAGTAGTCGACCAGCTAAATTTCAATGTCTCACATTTTTTGCACAAAAAATTAACAACTAGAAAAAAATAGTAATTTACAATTGGTTCAATTGATTTGTTTCTTGCAATTTCTGGGACAACTCCAAAACCAAATAAAACAAGGAAGGAATTCTAAAATTTTGGAACGCTTTCTTCACCACTTTAGTTCCCAGTTGTTTTAAATATTCAATGGTTTAGTGTTCTCTTCTCCAGCGGAAAGGATTTTAATGTAGCTGTCTTTTGTTTGTAATTCTAGTGTATTTCATACAAGGTAGTTGACTCTGCCGGTGGACTATCACTTCCCAAGGTTTGCCGTAGCTTTGGAATTTACTTTGGCAAGGTTAACATGAGATACTAGTTAAAGTATAAATCATGTGTTGTAGCCATATGCTTTAAATTTTATGAATCTTATAGAGTGTTATATAGACACCTTTCCATTTTGATGTATTCTAGATTTGTTTTGGAACATTTAAGGCATTGATTTTTCACTTTTTTGACCATTGAACTAATAAATCTAAAATGGACAAAATGGACAGAGGTTGCAGTTAAATGGTCACTTTGTTTGGCATTCAGCATCTACAAACAATTTTCAATTAGATGCTTCTTTTCCTTGTATTGTCTGTGATTATATCAGGATTTACTTGTTATGTCACAGCTGAAAAAACCCCATCAAATTACCAAGTTTAAAGACAAGAAGAAATCACAGCATGTTTTATAATTTACTGACACATATTTCAAGCTTTACTTTCACTCACTCAATTTAACATTTCATCATCTCACACACTGTAAAATATAAGTCAAAACCCTGAGGAGGAAGTCAACAGCACAAGTAAGTCTTTAGGGCATAACATGCTGAAAGTTTGTGCTCCAATAATTGATAAATATTTATAATTGATCACTGGTGTAACTTTGGTTCACATTTTCTCCAGAGGGGTAATTCCAAGTAACTGCATTCCATTTGCCATCACAGTTTTACAACACTTGAACAGCTGTAGTCTTGCCTGAAATCAAGAGACCAGAAATTAAGTTTGTATAGATATGGAGCAAGGAAGCAATTCTGACAGTGTTGACAATATGAGGTTGTCAAATTTTCAACTCCTTGAACACTGAACACACCATTAACCAATGATACTGTGTTTGTGAGTGTGTGTGTGTGCGATCAACGACAAAGAGATTAGAATATATCGGGAAAACTGGAGCATAAAAAAAATCTGAAGCAGGAAAATACACCGACACAATGATTCGTCCAGTGAAAATAACTCTAATACTCACTAAATTATAAATCACTAATATCTGTTTCGAGAAATAGATATACTTTATATCTGCCTATTAAAATTGCTACTTCAAGAGATTCTATTCCATGTTCCAATTTATCTAGATCGTCACAGCATAAATCGTCATGTCAGCTTTTTTCCAGCTTCAGCATCTTTCCTCATACTTCTGTTTTCAATATTCAAAAATATTACTGCATCAATAAAATGCTGGATTTGGAAGCAACAGATATGGCAACTTATTCTTATGACTCGTTGACAACAAGACTACATCAGTAATTGCTATTTTGAATGAGGTATTTGATGTAATTTTACCATTTTTAGCTATTATCTGGTACAAGTTGCATGGTTACAATTTTTTTCCCAATTATGTTATCTATGTAATTAACTTGCAAGATTTTACAAAAACAACTATAAATTATAATGCGGCTTCATTTGCTGCTGTGATTGAAAATATACAGCTTTGAATACAGCAAATAGAAAACAATATTCTGATTGGTCAATATGAAATTAATACAGGACCTTATATCATCACATGTGAAGATATGACATTTTGTATATCTTCATTGTAATGAATATAAAAGGTTTTTTCAATTTGATGATTTCCAAGATTTTATGGGTGAAATGGTAAAAAATATGTAAATCTATATCTTTATTAATGACAAGTTTCAAGAACATACAAGATTTTCTCTGTTAAATATTTATCTATTGTTGAGGTGTCCATCTAGTGGATGATACAAGTAGATTACTAGTTTTATCCTTTGATATACATCAAAAGAATCTCGCAGCAGCGTAACAGCAAATAGCTAACAGTGTGCCTTTGATTTTGTCACGACATATTCCAGGAGTGCAAAGAATGTAAGTGAGCATAACCCCTGGTATCTAGAGAAAGTCGTTGAGGATAAGTTTACATGAATATTATTGTCATTCTACGTTATTTAATCAGGTTAGTTACCTTGGCAACCTCTGGATCTTCATCTTTTACCTGCAGTGTCACCATTGCAGAGTTGATTAGATTTCTGCAAAAAAAAAGTTAATTCAAGAAAACGATGCGAATCACATATTTGTGTGTCATGGTAGTCAAACTTGTTTAGTCGGCTTATAATTAATGTATGTTCATCTGTTATTTTATGTCAATTATTGTGCTGTGTGTGTGTGTCTATGTATTTATCACATACCTGTTGAATCTAGATATAGTTATACAAGCAATTTTCAGACCATGAAATACAACCTGTATTGCACATGTGCAATACGGAATGTTGTATTTACCCACTAGCCGGAACTACTTTTTATGGGAATCCCCTTGTCATGGCGAACTGAAAAATTCCCGGTATTTGCAAAAAATATCAAAGTTCATAAAATCTTTGTATCGATCTCTACCAAATACGGAAGGTATGTGATAAAAGCAAGACCACACACATGTGTTTTGCTAACAAATCAGAAAGCACTCATTTATTGCGTGGACGTAAATATTCGTCCTCGCAATAAATGAGAGCTTTCTGATTCGTTAGAAAAACACAAGTGTGTGGTCTTGCATATATATCTGTCATGGTGAGTGTAATGTACCTGTATTATATCAGATTGCTATTATGACGTGTGAGAGATGAGAGGTACTACATGTATTGGCAGTGAAAAACACTTTGACCCTGCATTATTCTATACGCACATGGGAGCCTCAGCCGAACAACCCACACGTATCTAAACACCAGTCTACACGTTATCCTCGTAGGGATCAGATGCATATAAAGCTTCTTATCCCTCCTATGAGCTTCACAGCCACAGAGTAAGGCAAGTCCTCCTGTGAGCTTCACAGCCACAGAGTAAGGCAGGTCCTCCTACGAGCTTCACAGCCACAGAGTAAGGCAAGGCCTCCTACGAGCTTCACAGCCACAGAGTAAGGCAAGTCATCATGTGAGCTTCACAGCCACAGAGTAAGGCAAGTCCTCCTGTGAGCTTCACAGCCACAGAGTATGGCAAGTCCTCCTATGAGCTTCACAGCCACTGAGTAAGGCAAGTCCTCCTGTGAGCTTCACGGCCACAGAGTAAGGCAAGTCCTCCTATGAGATTCACAGCCACAGAGTAAGGCAAGTCATCGTGTGAGCTTCACAGCCACAGAGTAAGGCAGGTCCTCCTACGGGCTTCACAGCCACAGAGTAAGGCAAGGCCTCCTACGAGCTTCACAGCCACAGAGTAAGGCAAGTCATCGTGTGAGCTTCACAGCCACAGAGTAAGGCAGGTCCTCCTACGAGCTTCACAGCCGCAGAGTAAGGCAAGGCCTCCTACGAGCTTCACAGCCACAGAGTAAGGCAAGGCCTTCTGTGAGTTTCACAGCCACAGAGTAAGGCAAGTCCTCCTATGAGTTTCACAGCCACAGAGTAAGGCAAGTTCTTCTGTGAGCTTCACAGCCACAGAGTAAGGCAAGACCTCCTATGACCTTTACAGCCACAGAGTAAGGCAAGTTCTACTGTGAGCTTCACAGCCACAGAGTAAGGCAAGTCCTCCTATGAGCTTCACATCCACAGAGTAAGGTAAGTCCTGTGAGCTTCACAGCCACAGAGTAAGGCAAGGCCTCCTACGAGCTTCACAGCCACAGAGTAAGGCAAGTCATCCTGTGAGCTTCACAGCCACAGAGTAAGGCAGGTCCTCCTGTGAGCTTCACAGCCCCCGAGTAAGGCAAGGCCTCCTGTGAGCTTCACAGCCAGAGTAAGGCAAGTCCTCCTGTGAGCTGCACAGCCACAGAGTAAGGCAAGGCCGCCTATGACCTTTACAGCCACAGAGTAAGGCAAGTTCTCCTGTGAGCTTCACAGCCAGAGTAAGGCAAATCCTCCTATGAGCTTCACAGCCGCAGAGTAAGGCAAGACCTCCTATGAGCTTTACAGCCACAGAGTAAGGCAAGTCATCATGTGAGCTTCACAGCCACAGAGAAAGGCAAGTCCTCCTATGAGCTTCCCAGCCACAGAGCAAGGCAAGTCAGCCTATGAGCTTCACAGCCACAAAGTAAGGCAAGTCCTCCTATGAGCTTCACAACCACAGAGCAAGGCAAGTCCTCCTATGAGCTTCACAACCACAGAGCAAGGCAAGTCCTCCTATGAGCTTCACGGCCACAGAGCAAGGCAAGTCAGCCTATGAGCTTCACAGCCACAGAATAAGGCAAGTCCTCCTATGAGTTTCACAGCCACAGAGAAAGGCAAGTCCTCCTATGAGCTTCACGGCCACAGAGCAAGGCAAGTCATCCTGTGAGCTTCACAGCAACAGAGTAAGGCAAGGCCTCCTATGAGCTTCACAGCCACAAAGTAAGGCAAGTCCTCCTATGCGTTTCACAGCCACAGAGTAAGGCGAGTCCTCCTGTGAGCTTCACAGCAACAGAGTAAGGCAAGCCCTCCTATGACCTTTACAGCCACAGAGTAAGGCAAGGCCTCCGGTGAGCTTCACAGCCACAGAGAAAGGCAAGTCCTCCTGTGAGCTCCACAGCCACAGAGTAAGGCAAGGCCGCCTATGACCTTTACAGCCACAGAGTAAGGCAAGTCATCCTGTGAGCTTCCCAGCCACAGAGTAAGGCAAGTTCTCCTGTGAGCTTCACAGCCAGAGTAAGGCAAGTCCTCCTATGCGTTTCACAGCCACAGAGTAAGGCAGGTCCTCCTGTGAGCTTCACAGCCAGAGTAAGGCAAATCCTCCTATGAGCTTCACAGCCGCAGAGTAAGGCAAGACCTCCTGTGAGCTTCACAGCCAGAGTAAGGCAAGTCCTCCTATTAGCTTCACAGCCACAGAGTAAGGCAGGTCCTCCTGTGAGCTTCACAGCAACAGAGTAAGGCAAGGCCTCCTATGAGCTTCACAGCCACAAAGTAAGGCAAGTCCTCCTATGCGTTTCACAGCCACAGAGTAAGGCAAGGCCGCCTATGACCTTTACAGCCACAGAGAAAGGCAAGTCCTCCTGTGAGCTTCACAGCCGCAGAGTAAGGCAAGTCCTCCTATGAGCTTCACAGCCACAGAGCAAGGCAAGTCATCCTATGAGCTTCACAGCCACAGAGTAAGACAAGTCATCCTATGAGCTTCACAGCCACAGAGTAAGGCAAGTCCTCCTATGAGCTTCACAGCCACAGAGTAAGACAAGTCATCCTATGAGCTTCACAGCCACAGAGTAAGCAAAGTCATCCTATGAGCTTCACAGCCACAGAGTAAGGCAAGTCCTTCTGTGAGCTTCACAGCCACAGAGTAAGGCAAGTGTTCCTGGGAGCTTCACAGCCACAGAGTAAGGCAAGTCCTTCTGTGAGCTTCACAGCCACAGAGTAAGGCAAGTCTTCCTGTGCGCTTCACAGCCACAGAGTAAGGCAAGTCCTCCTGTGAGCTTCACAGCCACAGAGTATTCTAATCACATTTTCAGGATAAAATATTATCAATAGCTATTAACAATTATCAAATACACTGCAGATTAAAACTTTTACTGTATTTGAAATATTTCATGATGATATGCTCGGGAGTACATTCAAAATGGCCATGTTCGTATAACTTGTCAGTGAATAGGGTCAGAGTTAGTGTGAAAGTAATGTTAAGGGGGCTGAACTAAAATTAAACCATAGAACTACATGTAATAGTCTCTATAAACGTCTGTAGGTAATTCATCCTGTAAAATTCAAATGCATATTTAAATGGAATGTATTGTCAGACGTAGTATTGTTTTATTTCAGGTTGCCTTCTCCTTGTCTCCTTTTTGTCACTTGTCTTCTAGTTGTACAATAATTATATAAACTGTGCTATATCTGTAGAACAGGGCTGGACGTCCTTGTTAGACAGGAGACAGGAAAAGCCCTTTATTCCAATGAGTATACTTGTGTACATGAGTTTTGTTTTACAAACTCAATGAAGATATTCCTGAAAACTTGATTTCGTGAATGAGTTGACCAAACAGTTCAGTCTCTAAAACTGTCACATTCTAGTGTAAACTGTAACATTCTAGTGTAAACTATCATCTTCTAGTGTAAACTGTAACATTCTAGTGTAAACTGTAACATTCTAGTGTAAACTGTAACATTCTAGTGTAAACTGTCACCTTCGTGTAAACTGTTACATTCTAGTGTAAAATGTCACTTTCTAGTGTAAACAGTCACCTTCTAGTGTAAACTGTCACCTTCTAGTGTAACCAATCACCTTCTTGTGTAAATTGTCACATTCTGTGTAAACTATCACCTTCTTGTGTAAATTGTCACATTCTAATGTAAACTGTCACATTCTATTGTAAATTGTCACATTCTAGTGTAAACTGTCACATTCAAGTGTAAATTGCCACCTTCTAGTGTAAACTGTAACATTCTAGTGTAAACTGTCACCTTCGTGTAAACTGTCACCTTCGTGTAAATTGTTACATTCTAGTGTAAACTGTCACCTTCTAGTGTAAACTGCCACGTTCTAATGTAAACTGTTACCTTCTAGTGTAAACTATCACCTTCTTATGTAAATTGTCACATTCTAGTGTAAATTGTCACATTCTAGTGTAAATTGTCACCTTCTAGTGTAAATTGTCACCTTCTAGTGTAAACTGTAACATTCTAGTTTAAACTGTAACATTCTAGTGTAAACTGTAACATTCTAGTGTAAACTGTCACTTTCTAGTGTAAATTGTCACATTCTAGTGTAAACTGTCACTTTCCAGTGTAAACTGTCACATTCTAATGTAAATTGTCACCTTCTAGTGTAAACTGTCACCTTTTAGTGTAAACTCACATTCTAGTGTAAACTGTCACCTTCTAGTGTAAACTCACATTCTAGTGTAGACTGTCACCTTCTAGTGTAAACTGTCATCTTCTAATATAAACTGTCACATTCTAGTGTAAATTGTCACATTCTAGTGTAAACTGTAACATTCTAGTGTAAACTGTCATCTTCTAGTGTAAGCTGTCACCTTCTAGTGTAAACTCACATTCTAGTGTAAACTGTCACCTTCTAGTGTAAACTGTCATCTTCTAGTGTAAACTCAAATTCTAGTGTAGACTGTCACCTTCTAGTGTAAACTGTCATCTTCTAGTATAAACTGTCACATTCTAGTGTAAATTGTCACATTCTAGTGTAAACTCACATTCTAGTGTAAACTGTCACCTTCTAGTGTAAACTGTCATCTTCTAGTGTAAGCTGTCACCTTCTAGTGTAAACTCACATTCTAGTGTAAACTGTCACCTTCTAGTGTAAACTGTCATCTTCTAGTGTAAGCTGTCACATTCTAGTGTAAACTTTCACATTCTAGTGTAAACTGTCACGTTCTAGTGTCTTATTTGAACAATTAATTAGCCGATTCTTTTAACTTATTCATCCCTAAAGACACATTTGAACCCTCCCAATTCAAAGGTTGGAATAGTTCATTAGAAAATTTCAGGGGTGAATGAGTTAAAGTCTTTGTTTATTAGCCTTAATTCAGTTATATTTCATGAAACCATGCTGACGAAACCGAAGTGTGGAGGGACAGGAACACAGACACTCCCCATACTATAATACAGCCCATCAAAATTTTAACAACCACAAAAAAAGTGTTTGCAGAGCGTTGCTATTATATGGCAACCTCCACAAAGCTGTCAACCCTCCCTGATTAGGAGGGAGACTCCCTCAGTTTTACCAAAATTTACCAATCTCCCTCGAAACTCTCTCATTCAAGTCCAAACTCACACAAACTCAGAATCTACATCCTGTGGTCAAATGATCTCCTAGTTACTGCAGGGTGTATGTAATGACCATAACAGGTGTGTCTGAATCAAATGAATGCCTTTTGGGAGTTATTTTGTTACATAAAATGGGAAAGATCAATTGAGCAAACCAGTTTCAGTTGCATTTCATGCACTTTCTCCCTCATTAGAAATGTGAAATGAGGGAGATCTCCCTTTTTGGAGGTTTTAGAGGCTGACACCTATGCCTACAGGTTAGTGGTGTGACTGTCATCAGGAGTAACAGCTTAGTGGTATGACTGTCATCAGGAGTAACAACTAAGTGGTACGACTGTCATCAGGAGTAACAGCCAAGTGGTACGACTGTCATCAGGAGTAACAGCTAAGTGGTACGACTGCCATCAGGAGTAACAGGTAAGTGTAATGACTGCCATCAGGAGTAACAGTTTAGTTGTATGACTGCCATCAGGAGTAACAGCTAAGTGGTACGACTGTCATCAGGAGTAACAGTTTAGTTGTATGACTGCCACCCATCACAAAACCATCTGATTTACAGGTTACATGTAGTTGTATCCCTGTGTATTTACAGTACACATCAAGAAAAGTGTAAACCTGTCCTGTATTTACACAAAGAAATTCCATGACGCTTGTACGGCTTGCGATGGGATTTTGATATGTGTCAAAAATGCAAAATATTGCTTCATATATAAATATCACACAGAAATATTTACATCAAAATCAACCTTTGAGAATGATACAAAAAAAAAAGTATTATGATACCTGAATGTTTTTAAGAAGAAAGCGATCTCATGTGGCTCCTGGTTTTCCACAGCTGACTCCACTATAGCTTCATACCTGTAAAATTAAACAATTGTTGCCATGAATAAAGTGACATGCACCATTTTCTGGTTTCTGCTAACCAAAAAATTAAATTGCATCTTTGTATTCTGGGATAGAAGCTTCATTATTCAGCAGTGTTAAAGCATATCACATATTTTATTTTGGGTTTTTTTAAGTCTTTTACATTATCAATTATCTAATGAATATTAGATGATTACCACTGTGAAAACATGTGTAGATTAACTTAAATCATAAATGCATTGTCATCGATCATTTAATTGGTCTGAGACAGAAGAATTGTACATACAAGAGGCCCAAGGGGCCTTAGCAGTCACCTGAGTTATATCATAGGTACTGGTAGCTTTATTTTATTATTTAGATGTGATGTGGAAATGAGCATGTAAACTAAGTGAAATACAATACTTGTCATGTCATCAAAGGATAAGAATTTTAAAATATTGGTAAATGTTCCCTTTGGGGCCCCGCCCTGGAACTTTGGGATGGGGCAAGAATTCCAACGATGTAATATCCTCATCCACCAAAGATAATTCTGACCAAGTTTGAATAATTTTCTGCTAAAAATGGATAAAATATATCCAAAAGTGTTATTTCCCTATATAAACTAGTTAACTTTACCCCCTCCCCAAGGGAGAAGGGATAGCTCGGGGGTCCTGAAATTAACAATTTCAATAAAGCTCCTGATGATCTTTCTATCCATGCACTGAAATTGACAGTAGTATCTCTGAGTCTGGAGAAGAAGATTTTTGAAATAGTGGTAAATTTTTCCATTGGGGCTCGCTCTGGCCCCTAAGGTTGGGGTAGGAATCCCAATTTTACAAATTAAAACCATCTTCCTCCAAGGATAATTCTCACCAAGTAAGAATAATTTCCTACAGAAAATTGTCAAAATATACACAAAAGTGTTATTTCCCTAGATAAACTATAGTAAACTTCACCCCCTCCCCAAGGGAGAAGGGATGGCCCGGGGGTCCTGAAATAAACAATTTAAATATAGCCCCTGATTATCTTTCCATCCATGCAGAGAAAACGACTGTAGTACCTCTGAGTCAGGAAAAGAAGATTTTTGAAATATTGGTTAATTTTCCCTTTGGGGCCCCACCTTGGCCCAAGGGGTTGGGGTAGGAATCCCAATTTTACAATTTAAAACCATCTTCATCCAAGAATAATTCTCCCCAAGTAAGAATAATTCCTTACAGAAAATTGTCAAAATATACCCAAAAATGTTGATTCCCTATATAAACTATAGTAAACTTTACCCCCTCCTCAAGGGAAAACGGATAGATCGGGGTCCTGAAATTGTAAATTTCAATAAAGCCCCTAATGATCTTTCCATCCATGCAGAAAAGATGACTGTAGTACCTCTGAGTCTGGAGAAGAAATTTTTTGAAATATTGGTTAATTTTCCCTTTGGGGCCCTACCCTGGCCCCAGGGGTTAGGGCAGGAATCCCAATTTTACAATTTTGCAGCTTCATCTACCAAGCATGATTCTGATCGAGTTTGAAAAATTCCATCCGCTGGTTCTTGGGAAGAAGTTGAAAATGTAAAAAGTTTACGCACGACGCACCACGACGGGCGGAAAGTGATCGGAATAGGTCACTTGAGCAAAGCTCAGATGACCTAATAACTATTGGGAAGCAGAATTATACAAACAAACTATTGGGGTTTAACACAGAAAAATTTGCATACAAACTACTGGGGTCTGAGACAGTAGAATTATACATATAAACTATTGGGGTTTGACACAGCAGAATTATACATACAAACTATGAGGGTCTGACACAGCAGAATTATACATACAAACTATTGGGGTCTGAGACAGCAGAATTATACATGTAAACTATTGGGGTCTGAGACAGTAGAATTATACATATAAACTATTGGGGTCTGACACAGCAGAATTATACACACAAACTACTGGGGTTTGACACAGCAGAATTATACATTCAAACTACTGGGGTCTGAGACAGCCGAGTTATACATATAAACTTTGTGGGGTCTGAGACAGCAGAATTATACATACAAACTATTGGGGTCTGAGACAGTAGAATTATACATATAAACTATTGGGGTCTGACACAGCAGAATTATACACACAAACTACTGGGGTTTGACACAGCAGAATTATACATTCAAACTACTGGGGTCTGAGACAGCAGAATTATACATATAAACTATTGGGGTCTGAGACAGTAGAATTATACATATAAACTATTGGGGTCTGACACAGCAGAATTATACACACAAACTACTGGGGTTTGACACAGCAGAATTATACATTCAAACTACTGGGGTCTGAGACAGCAGAATTATACATATAAACTATTGGGGTCTGAGACAGTAGAATTATACATATAAACTATTGGGGTCTGACACAGCAGAATTATACACACAAACTACTGGGGTTTGACACAGCAGAATCATACATTCAAACTACTGGGGTCTGAGACAGCAGAGTTATACATATAAACTTTGTGGGGTCTGAGACAGAAGAATTATACATACAAACAATTGGGGTCTGAGACAGTAGAATTATACGTATAAACTATTGGGGTCTGAGACAGCTGAATTATACACACAAACTATTGGGGTCTGAGACAGAAGAATTATACATATAAACAAATGGGGGCTTAGACAGCAAAAATATACATTCAAACAATTGGGGTCTGAGACAGCAGAATTATACATACACACAATTGGGGTCTGAGCCGGAAGAATTATACATATAAACAAATGGGGTCTTAGACAGCAAAAATATACATTCAAACAATTGGGGTCTGAGACAGCAGAATTATACATACAAACAATTGGGGTCTGAGACAAGAATTATACATGTACATACAAACTACTGGGATCTCAGACAGCAGAATTATACATACAAACTATTGGGGTCCGAGACAGCAGAATTATACATACACACAATTGGGGTCTGAGACAGAAGAATTATACATATAAACAAATGGGGTCTTAGACAGCAAAAATATACATTCAAACAATTGGGGTCTGAGACAGCAGAATTATACATACAAACTATTGAGGTATGAGACAGAAGAATTATACATACAAACAATTGGGGTCTGAGACAGTAGAATTATACGTATAAACTATTGGGGTCTGAGACAGCTGAATTATACACACAAACTATTGGGGTCTGAGACAGTAGAATTATACATATAAACTAATGGGGTCTGAGACAGCAGAATTATACATATAAACAAATGGGGTCTGAGACAGTAGAATTATACATATAAACTAATGGGGTCTGAGACAGCAGAATTATACATATAAGCTAATGGGGACTGAGACAGCAGAAGTATACACACAAACTACTGGGGTTTGACACAGCAGAATTATACACACAAACTACTGGGGTCTGAGACAGCAGAATTATACACACAAACTATAGGGGTCAGACACAGCAGAATTATACATATAAGCTAATGGGGTCTGAGACAGTAGAATTATACATATAAACTATTGGGGTCTGACACAGCAGAATTATACACACAAACTACTGGGGTCTGAGACAGAAGAATTTGACATATTAACTATTGAGGTCTGAGACAGTAGAATTATACATTTAAACTTTTGGGGTCTGAGACAGCTGAATTATACACACAAACTACTGGGGTTTGACACAGCAGAATTATACATACAAACAATTGGGGTCTGAGACAGAAGAGTTATACATATAAACTGTGTGGGGTCTGAGACAGAAGAATTATACATGTAAACTATTGGGGTCTGAGACAGTAGAATTATACATATAAACTATTGGGGTCTGACACAGCATAATTATACACACAAACTACTGGGATACACACAAACTACTGGGGTTTGACACAGAAGAATTATACATTCAAACTACTGGGGTCTGAGACAGCAGAGTTATACATATAAACTGTGTGGGGTCTGAGACAGAAGAATTATACATACAAACTATTGGGGTCTGAGACAGTAGAATAATACATATAAACTTTTGGGGTCTGAGACAGCTGAATTATACACACAAACTACTGGGGTTTGACACAGCAGAATTATACATACAAACAATTGGGATCTGAGACAGCAGAATTATACATACAAACAATTGGTGTCTTAGACAGCAGAATTATACATACAAACTTTTGAGGTCTGAGACAGCAGAATTATACATACAAACAATTGGGGTCTGAAGCAGCAGAATTATACATACAAACAATTAGGGTCTGAGACAGCAGAATTATACATACAAACTATTGAGGTCTGAGACAAATTATACATGTACATACAAACTACTGGGATCTCAGACAGCAGAATTATACATACAAACTATTGGGGTCCGAGACAGCAGAATTATACATACAAACAATTGGGGTCTGAGACAGAAGAATTATACATATAAACAAATGGGGTCTTAGACAGCAAAAATATACATACAAACAATTGGGGTCTGAGACAGCAGAATTATACATACAAACAATTGGGGTCTGAGACAGCAGAATTATACATACAAACTATTGAGGTCTGAGACAGCAGAATTATACATACAAACAATTGGGGTCTGAGACAGCAGAATTATACATACAAACTATTGGGGTCTGAGACAGTAGAATTATACATATAAACTAATGGGGTCTGAGACAGTAGAATTATACATATAAACTATTGAGGTCTGAGACAGCTGAATTATACATACAAACTATTGGGGTCTGAGACAGCAGAATTATACATACAAACAATTAGGGTCTGAGACAGCAGAATTATAATTACAAACTATTGAGGTCTGAGACAGCAGAATTATACATACAAACAATTGGGGTCTGAGACAAGAATTATACATGTACATACAAACTACTGGGATCTCAGACAGCAGAATTATACATACAAACTATTGGGGTCCGAGACAGCAGAATTATACATACAAACAATTGGGGTCTGAGACAGAAGAATTATACATATAATCAAATGGGGTCTTAGACAGCAAAAATATACATACAAACAATTGGGGTCTGTGACAGCAGAATTATACATACAAACAATTGGGGTCTGAGACAGCAGAATTATACATACAAACTATTGGGGTCTGAGACAGCAGAATTATACATACAAACAATTGGGGTCTGAGACAGCAGAATTATACATACAAACTATTGGGGTCTGAGACAGCAGAATTATACATACAAACAATTGGGGTCTGAGACAGCAGAATTATACATACAAACAATTGGGGTCTGAGACAGCAGAATTATACATACAAACTATTGAGGTCTGAGACAGCAGAATTATACATACAAACAATTGGGGTCTGAGACAGCAGAATTATACATACAAACTATTGGGGTCTGAGACAGCAGAATTATACATACAAACAATTGGGGTCTGAGACAGCAGAATTATACATACAAACAATTGGGGTCTGAGACAGCAGAATTATACATACAAACTATTGAGGTCTGAGACAGCAGAATTATACATACAAACAATTGGGGTCTGAGACAGCAGAATTATACATACAAACTATTGGGGTCTGAGACAGCAGAATTATACATACAAACAATTGGGGTCTGAGACAGCAGAATTATACATACAAACTATTGAGGTCTGAGACAGCAGAATTATACATACAAACAATTGGGGTCTGAGACAGCAGAATTATACATACAAACTATTGAGGTCTGAGACAGCAGAATTATACATACAAACAATTGGGGTCTGAGACAGCAGAATTATACATTCAAACAATTGGGGTCTGAGACAGCAGAATTATACATACAAACTATTGAGGTCTGAGACAGCAGAATTATACATACAAACAATTGGGGTCTGAGACAAGAATTATACATATACATACAAACTACTGGGATCTCAGACAGCAGAATTATACATACAAACTATTGGGGTCCGAGACAGCAGTGTTACAAACTACTGGGGTCTGAGACTTCAGGATTAAATATACAATTTTTTATCATATTAGTTTGTACCTGGTAGGTTTACACATACAAATTACAGGGGTCTGATATAGCAGGGAAGAACATATTAGAGATAAAAATTCACTTACTCAATCATCTTACTTATAAGTTTGGTGGCGGTGTCTTCGGGCAGTAGGCTAAGATCAATGTCACCCTCATCCATTTCAGGTTGGTAGTATATTGACAGAAGACTGAAATAAAAATAACTAACATAGTGACAGGTATTCTCTGATGACAGGTAAAAACTAAAGGTAGCCACCCAATAACAGGTGACCACTCAGGTAGCCTCTAAAGTATAGGTGACCACTCAGGTAGCCTCTCAAGTATAGGTGACCACTCAGGTAGCCTCTCAAATATAGGAGACCACTCAGGTAGCCTCTAAATTATAGGTGACCATTCAGGTAGCCACTCAATTATAGGTGACCACTTAGGTAATCTCTCAATTATAGGTGACAACTCAGGTGGCCTATAAATTATAGGTGACCAATCAGGAGGCATCTCAATTATAGGTGACCATTCAGGTAGGCTCTCAATTATAGGTGACCCCTCAGGTAGCCTCTAAAGTATAGGTGACCCCTCAGGTAGCCTCTCAATTATAGGTGACCCCTCAGGTGGCCTCTCAATTATAGGTGACCTCTAAGGTAGGCTCTCAAGTATAGGTGGCCGCTCAGGTAGTCTGTAAATTATAGGTGACCACTCATGTAGTCTTTCAATTATAGGTGACCATTCAGGTAGCCACTCAATTATAGGTGACCACGCAGGTAGTCTCTCAAGGATAGGCGACCACTCAGGGAGCCTCTCAATTATAGGTGATCACTCAGGTAGTCTCTCAAATATAGGTGACCACTCAGGTGGCTTCTCAATTATAGGTGACCATTCAGGTAGCCACTCAATTATAGGTGACCACTAAGGTAGTCTTTCAAGTATAGGCGACCACTCAGGTAGCCTATCAATTATAGGTGACCACTTAGGTAATCTCTCAATTATAGGTGACCTCTAAGGTAGGCTCTCAAGTATAGGTGACCTCTCAGGTAGTATTTCAATTATAGGTGATCATTCAGGAAGCCACTCAATTATAGGTGACCACTTAGGTAGCCTCTCAATTTTAGGGGACCACTCAGGTAGTCTCTCCATTATAGGTGACCACTCAGGGGGCCTCTCAATTATAGGTGATCACTCAGGTAGTCTCTCAAATATAGGTGACCACTTAGGTAGTCTCTCAATTATAAGTGACCACTCAGGTAGTCTCTCCATTATAGGTGACCACTCAGTAGCCTCTCAAGTATAGGTGACCTCTCAGGTAGTATTTCAATTATAGGTGATCATTCAGGTAGCCACTCAATTATAGGTGACCACTTAGGTAATCTCTCAATTATAGGTGACCAATCAGGAGGCATCTCAATTATAGGTGACCACACAGGTAGTCTCTCAATTATAAGTGACCACTCAGGTAGTCTCACAATTATAGGTGACCACTCAAGTAGTCTCTCAATGAGAGATGACCACTCATGCAGTCTTTTAATGATAGATGATCCCTCAGGAAGTGTTTCAACAATACTAAAGTATAGGTGACCACTCAGTTAGCCTCTCAAGTATAGGTGGCCGCTCAGGTAGTCTGTAAATTATAGGTGACCACTCAAGTAGACTCTCAATTATAGGTGACCTCTAAGGTAGGCTCTCAAGTATAGGTGGCCGCTCAGGTAGTCTGTAAATTATAGGTGACCACTCAGGGGGCCTCTCAATTATAGGTGATCACTCAGGTAGTCTCTCAAGTATAGGTGACCATTCAGGTAGCCACTCAATTATAGGTGACCACACAGGTAGTCTCTCAATTATAGGTGAACACTCAAGTAGTCTCTCAATTATAGGTGAACACTCAAGTAGTCTCTCAATTATAGGTGACCATTCAGGAAGCCACTCAATTATAGGTGATCATTCAGGTAGCCACTCAATTCACTCAGGTAGTCCCTTAATGATAGGAGATTCCTCAGTCTCCCAATGAGATATGACCACTGAGGCAATCATTTAATGATATGTGATTCCTCAGGAAGTGTTTCAATGATAGACCACTCAAGTAGTCTCTCAATGAGAGATGACCACTCAAGTAGCCTCTCAATGAGAGATGACCACTCAAGAAGTTTCTCAATAAGAGATGACCACTCAAGTAGTCTCTCAATGAGAGATGATCACTCAAGAAGTCTCTGAATGAGAGATGACCACTCAAGAAATCTCTCAATGAGAGATGACCACTCAAGTAGTCTCTCAATGAGAGATGACCACTCATGCAGTCTTTTAAAGATAGATGATCCCTCAGGAAGTGTTTCAACAATAGATCACTCAAGTAATCTCTCAATCATAGAGAGAATAATTTATATATTTAGAAAGCTTTATATAGGGATTATATTTTGGGGAGTGAACGTGTGGCAAGAATTTCCAAATAGCTGTCACAACTTTAGGTATGTATTTGAAACCTTTCTCTCAGCATTACTAAAAGGAACGCAGTTAAGGGAGGTTAATCGAGGGAAGTCACTTAATTGGCATAAAGAAAATTTGGGGAGGCAACTGTTAGCATGAAAACACCATAGTGGAACTCTCTATAATGTTGTCACCAGCGGTACAGGGATCTTTGATAGAGTTGCAAAGAAAAAAGGTTCTGAGATGTTCTCTGAATAGTCTCGATGCTCCGTCTACTAGAAATGTCTTGTGATATATCATATGAGACTTCGGGTGACCTGAAAACTTAACTTCTATACATAACTCATCTCCATGATTGAGCTTTTTGTTTCTTGTGCAATTGTGTCTGAATAAATTTTTGTGACCTATAAGAATTTGTTATCTCTTTTTGCAAAGTTGAATGAAAATTTCTATGCTGCAAAACAAATGATTTTAGCAATCATCACTGAAAAATAGGCACATGAATTTCGTGAATTTGTATGTTCGATGTTTCATGTACCTGCATAGCCGTGAATGACAGTAGTGCATCATACTGCCATCATGTGTACCTTGCTGGATCAATTTAGTCCAGTCAAAAGTGTAGTCTCTTTTCTTTACTTTCCTTAGATCCCAAAACACTAGTGTAGTCAGGGCAATGACTTCTGCAGCTCGATCCTTCTCTTCCCCTTCTACTCTTGTTGCTGCGAGCAAAAGCATGGTATACAAGTTATAATGCCTGTGACATAAAAACCATCCTTCTCACTGAATTTGGTCAAGATGGACGTGCCATTTTTGTGACTTGATGAGCATTATCTTATCTAATGAAATATAATGCCTTTACAATTTACACAATATTATTTGCTTCTAGCTCATTTCTTAATGAGTTGAAAATCTCAAGCGAGATAAAAATGGGAAAAAAAATTAAATGAAATAAATATTTACACCATCTGAACCAGATCCAATCTTCGCTGAAATACATTTAAGTGAACACAAGTTCACAATTTGTTTTTGTTTGGAAGACCCTTACTCATAAGGAATTGCAGTACTAACTTTCAGACCTGTCCATAGCCGACAGGACCACCTGCTTTAGGTCGTCAAGGAACAAGAGTAACAGTATGTGATTGCCTCTCCTGGTACTCATGTGTCCGATTCTTCCAAATGCTACATGAAGAGAATCCCCATACCTACAAGTAACACAACACACAGTTAATGAATTAACTACTCGGTATCAATTTATGTTACCTTGTCCAGGAGATGTTCTTATTACATGTAAAGCTAGATCAGTGAAAACTTTTGACTAATCTTTTTAAATAGTAACAGTAACCTTGACCCTGGAGCACTGAAATACACACTCATTGAAGGAGTTCTTATATGGGGAGGTGACTATATAACGATGGGGGCATCTAATGTCACTAGAGAGTTGGCACTGAAACCGTTAATAACTCTCTATAAATAGCAACATGACCTATCTTTATAAGTCGACTTTATCTTTGTATCCTGAAATACAAACTTGTTCCAGATAAACTGTTAACTCATCTTTGAATAAAGTTTGAAAAAATATGAAGATAGACAGCAAGTGGCTATGGTCTTGACCTTGGCACATTGAAAAAAGCCTTGGCACACTGAAAAAGGGGGGGGGGGGGAATGTAGGTATTTGAACATACCATCCTCAATACGCCAGGGGTTTCACCCACTTACGCTATCTGCAGCGTAAGTGAGCGTTACCTCTGGCAGAGAGCGTAAGTGAGTGTAACCCCTGGCAAAGAGCGTAAGTGAGCATAACCCCTGGAGTATTGAGGATGTTGTATGATTGAAATTTGTAAAAGTGAATTTATCCAAATCTTTTCAGAAACGAAGCTGGTAGAGTGATAACATCAAATGGAGATGGGACACGACAGGATGGTAAACGGCACAGCAGAACGGGACAAGACAAGACGCACATAGGTACCATGAAATGCTTCCTATAAAATAATGAGGCCAGAAAAAGTGCAACAAATATTGTATGTGAGGGAAAGGCCTGGACACTTGATCACCTAGAAGTAAGATTTTTTTTTGTATACAAGATAAAATTTGGAAACAAACCCAGTACCTGTAGAATTCACATTTTAAGTTTTTCTGTTCCCTGTGCCTATCTGAGGTAGGATAAGATTTAATGTGAGTGTTCACCTTTTGGCCCATTCCACATCCAGCTCCTTGAGGATCCTACCGAGCTGTTTAAAATGGAGATATTGTCCCTGCTCCACCTAAACATGGAACATATACAATTTCTCAGGTTTTAGATACCTGTTCATAAAATAGCAGAATGACCATCACTGTGGCCTTCTTCAGTTTTACAAAGATTTGCAAAGCTCAGTGACCTTACATTCCCACAAATTCTGCTCTCAAACTAGCTTCCTTAAACAGGTTTCTTGTAACTTGCTAAAATCATGTGACACATTCAAAAAGTAAAGTCTAGACAATAAAAACAGTTTTCCACTTTAAGTCTCTTAAAAATTACTCCAAATTATTGAAAAAGAAAGTAAAATTTGAATGATTAAAAATGGAACAAGGAAGTAGGCTTCAGCACAGAATTTGAGTTTGAGCAAGAAGATGACTTAATGATTGAATACTGTTCAAGGTAGCCTAGCTATGACATATTTTTATAGGTGATGTCATATTTTTGTTTGGAGAGCTTTCCTTTATCAATATTTATTATTTAACGGCTGTTGTTGAGGCAAATATGTGGTTATATTGACCTGAGAAAGGAATATTGATTAATACAAAGTCAAGGTCAATATCACTTTTTCAGGTTCATATAACCACAAAATGTGGCATTTTCACTGAAATAAAAATCTAAAATTGTTATGTTAGATGCTAAATTAAAATTTAATCATTAAAGCAGATGGAATGTTGAAAACTAATGAGAAAAGTACAAAAGTACAATAGTACTGCATGTGTCAGAGGATTGAGACGTCACAATTGAAATGACGCCATAAGTGAATATTAACCTGCTGTTTCTAAAACATAGTAACACCGAGTCCATATCACAATTAACCGACCTCCACATGATTCTGATCCACCCAATGAGGGTGTAGGAATAATATGTGTCCTCTAATATAATAATATGTGTCCTCTAATATAATAATAGGTGTCCTCTAATATAATAATAGGTGTCCTCTAATATAATAATATGTGTCCTCTAATATAATATGTGTCCTCTAATATAATAATAGGTGTCCTCTAAAATAATAATATGTGTCCTCTCATATAATAATAGGTGTCCTCTAATATAATAATATGTGTCCTCTAATATAATAATAATGTGTCCTCCCATATAATAATATGTGTCCTCTATTATAATAATAGGTGTCCTCTAATATAATAATATGTGTCCTCTAATATAATAATATGTGTCCTCTAATATAATAATATGTGCCCTCTAATATAATAATATGTGCCCTCTAATATAATAATAGGTGTCCTCTAATATAGCGCAAAATATCAGGGTATAAACTGGTCGGCCTTTTTTCTTTCGGATATGATTTTGCCGATTGCGATGCGGCGCCTTTCAAAAGTTTCTTGCCGTGTAAACCTCTAACACTGTTGGAGTGTATGTAATATTGTATCTCGATCATCGTAAAGCCATCAACATGAGACTGACATAGATAGATTTTGTTTGGACCTATCAACTGTTAGAAACCCTCTGATCTTCTCAACCTCTATTGTGACCTGGTCCAGTATTCATGAAACCATTCTCATGCCCAAGCAAGGATTCTGTGCTCAAACGAACTTTCTTGCAACTCACTAAATCGTGTGACACAGCCAAACGTCAAGTGTAAATATTGAAAACGGTATTCAGCTTTTAGTCTGTCTAAAATTCTTCCAAATCATTGAGGAAAAAATGGATTTTTATTATTTTATCGCTGGAACTTGACATTGGGCTTGAGCACAGAATCTCAGTTTGAGCATCCATCAAATTGATATCGGTACTTACGACATAGTAACATCTATCAAATTGATATCGGTACTTACGACATAATAACATCTATCAAATTGATATTGGTACTTACGACATAATAACATCTATCAAATTGATATCGGTACTTACGACATAATAACATCTATCAAATTGATATCGGTACTTACGACATAATAGCATCTATCAAATTGATATCGGTACTTACGACATAGTAACATCTATCAAATTGATATCGGTACTTACGACATAATAACATCTATCGAATTGATATCGGAACTTACGACATAGTAACATCTATCAAATTGATACCGCTTGTGTCTGTCAAATGCTGCAGCAACATCTCTGAAATTCACAACACAAATTTTGTAAGTACATATAAAAGCTCACCATGCCAATATTAATGTTGGGTAATATTGGTCTTATCTCAAACAGGCTTTAGTTTAGTGACATCTTGATTATCTAGCTTCTGCAAAGTATTTTAAAATATCAATTGTCAAATTGTCATAACATTAATTGTTGCCTTACATTTCAGATTTGCATTGGAAATTGATTTCTTTCATAGAACATTATCTGAGTTAAAGTGTTTATAAGATTTGGATGTCATTATGATTTTATTACAATGTACAAGGTGAATCCTTTTGGAAAATTTGAGGACATTTCACGTATTGCTCAGGAACGAATTGATCTATAGAAATAAAGTTACCAAGTTACATTGACCTTTAAACATCAACTTCTGAAGAAAGTAAAATTCCTCCTTATATATGTCTTGGTGATCAAAGATTGTGAGCAACATTCCACCTATTACTCTTGAGAAAAACTAAATTTTTAATCAAGAGAAATTGTAACCTTAAACTGAAAACTCACCCTCTAAAGTCTTCACAATTAGTCTTTATGTGGGAGTGAGTGACCTTATGACTTTGACATTTGACCTTCAACCTCTAAAAAGATTTGTATCACTTATTAAACAAGACATCGCAAAAGGTACAAATCCCCTTGTGTGTTGTTCAAGATTTTATATTTAACAGAAAAATCCATGAATTCAATAGAGCAATGACAAATATTTTCTATAAATAGAAATGGCAACCTTAACTTGACCTTGGCACCCTGAAACACAAACTAGTTCAAGGTATTCTCATGCATAACATATATATATAAAGTTTGATAAAAAAAAAATGCAGGAATAAAGTTGCTAGAGCAATGAAAAAGAAAATCTATAAATAGTAAGTGACCTTGACCTTGGACTGCTAAAACACAAACTTATTCAAAGTATTCCGATACATGACCATGATTTGAAATTTGAATAGAACACAATATCCACTTTCTGACTTCCTAATGTGCAAAACGAGTGCTATATCCCCTTCCTGACCTTTTTGAAAAGGGATGACAACTTTCTATGTTACAACAGGACAGATCCACAGACAAAAAAGACCAACACTTGATGCTCCTATCCACATTTGTGCCTGAGAAAAACAAACACAAGGTCACCACTTTAGAGGCTGTACACTATATACCTGGTAAGATATAAGGAGGTTCCATTACTTCTAACGAGTACTGCTTCCTTAACCAGTCCTTCAGGTTTCAACTTCATGTAGCCGACCCCTGTATCACTGAAACATCAATATTGTAAGTCAACGTACACAATGTGAGCACAACATATTAAAGACTAAATATAAAGTTCAAAAACAATATTCCAAAATGAAGCATCCTAAACATAGGTTTGTTCCGATTTTCTGTAGATGTTGTTATGAATTAAGACAAGAGGCCCAATGGGCCTGCATCGCTCACCTGGTATTAATACCACATTTGTAACCTTAAAGTTGACTAAAATAAAGCTACAGACAAAGTATTGTGTCTTCACTAAAAGTCATTCGAAAGAAAACATTTTGACCCCTATGACCTTGAAATTCAAACAAGGACATTAAATTGAACAAACTTAATAGCAAGAAGCTACCAGCCAAATATTATGATTCTATGCCTTTCAATTCTTCAGAACAAGTTGTTTGAAGTGTTTTACATATATGACCCCTGTGACATTGAAAGTAGGTCAAGGTTATTTTTATTCTCAAACATTGTCCGGCTCCATCCCAAGAAGCTACCAGCCAATATTTTAGATTCTAAACCTTTCAGTTCTTCAGAAGAAGTCGCTTGATGTAATTCTCATTTGCAGAATTTGTCAGGCTCCATGCCAAGAAGCTACCAGCCAAATATTATGATTCCATACCTTTCGATTATTCAGAAGAAGTTGTTTGATGTTTTTGACATTGTTGACCCCTGTGACCTTGAAAGTAGGTTTACATTATTTTCATTCACAAACTTTGACGGGATCAATCCCAGAAAGCTACCAGCCAAATATTAAGATTCTGTACCTTTTAGTTCTTCAGAAGAAGTCGTTTGAAGTGTTTGAAATGTTGGTGAAAGTAGGTCATGGTCATTTTTCATTATGCTGTCACACATTCCAATAAGTTCAAAATGTCACTACCTTCTCCCCCAAGATCTGCTGGAAAATATCAGTACCATTACAGGTAGGTAAATCTAGGATAAACCAAAGGTCCATCTGAAAAACATGGTCTAGTACTCAGCACCAACATCCTTTGAAATAATTCTGCTAACTACACAAACAAAATTTCCTGTTACCCCACTGATGGTTAAGAACATATTTATATGTGTATATATTGTGAGTCTTACCTTCGATACTGGAGCAGTCCTCTCTGTTTTAGGTCATTTATTAACTGCTTTGTCTGAGTTAAATACATGGATTCCCCCTCAATATCTGTGAACTTTATGCCCAGTTTCTGTCGGGAAACAAAGTCAACTTTCTGGATTGATTATGTAATCTAAACTTAATTCAGTTAGGTTGTATGCCAAAGCCATTAGCATTGTTTTCTATTAGACATGTTCTTACAATAGGTTCCATAGACAACAACTTTGTTTATAGTGATTTCAAAATGAACTTACAAGATACTTTTTATTTTCATAAAAAATATTGCTAAAAATAGTATTTTTTCTATTGCTCATGGAAACATGTATTCTGTAAATTTGCGAAAATTGGACTTCACCACCTGTCAAATTAACAATAGCATCACTATTCTGTTATTACCTGGTAGGATTCTTCATAATATAGAACACTTAGGTCTCTACACTTCTTCCACAGTCTAAGTTCCTCAGGATCACCTGTAAGATAACACAATACAGGACTTATTCAATGATTGGCCAAGTAACCACACTAAACAAGATACAGAATTTTCGAGGTCAATCATGTTCCTTAATGTCATGTGATTTAAGTTTCCTTTTTTTTTAACAGATTTAGCCTTAGTTGTCAAGAGAAATTGCAGTTTAAACCAGACCTTTTATAGTTATAAAACTACTTTTACCTTCTTCTAATCTTCGGAATACTTTCTGACTTTCCATGGTGATTATCTTGTTGTCCTCTGTCAGAAATTGTTCCGCATCCTTTTCTTCATTAGCTTTGATGTACAGCTGCACTTCACCATAAACATAACAAATATAATCATTTTCTGAATGGCCCATGCATGTTTCATACATACTGTATATCAGATTTTTTTGGCTGCATTTTCACTTTTGCCTTTTTCCCCCTCCATAATGAGGGTAATGTTAGCTCGACACATACTTGGCAGCTCTTCCTTTTTTGGAAGGAACCGATCTCGGACCCTAAAACTGAGCATTTCCAAACAGTGAATTTCCTAAACTATTCCTATTTTCCAAGATCTGCTGATTTCATCTAAAAAAAAAAAGCTCAAAAGATGACATTTAAAAGTGTTATTTTTCCCTAGGGTGTATGTACACATATTTTATATATGCTTTTAATTCTGAACACACACAAACTCCCCATGGAAATATTAAAAAGTTGGCAAGCATGCTGACAGCAAACAAAATTATATGTTTATTACAATGTATTCAAACTTTAAAATAGTCCCATAGGATTTTTTGTCTTTAAATATTTTCCTCATAAATAGTCTTTAGATAGTGAATTTAAATATTTTCCTCATAAATAATCATTTTCTAATTCTTATATTATAACAAAATGACTCCTTTTGTACAATAAAACCAAATTTCCCCAACATTAATGCACCCGTTGTAACGCCAAACCCGTATACTGCCATCCGCTATCATATTACCAAAACAAATGGTTAAAATCACACTATTTTGACCTTGTTAAATACCGCTAATTTGAGTCGAGTACTAGTATATCCAGATGACAGGAATGTTACGTACGTGTGTACATTTTATTTTACACATGACTGCCGACTGACCAGGTAATCAGCTGTATATTTTGCACGCTCAACCATATGATACATTTGCACATAGTTACAACAATTCCAACCTAACAATGTTTAACAGCTAAAACTAATTCACACTAAGTTAGAAAACAGAACAAAACACTTCTACACATCATGAACAGCAGTATTATTAAAAGATGATAGGATGTTTTCTTTAAAAATTATACAAGCATGAAAAATGAAACTGTACAGAAATATAAAGCATATTAAAAACTGAATTCATTACAATGTTGTGGTTCCAAGCATTGTTTGCCCATCTTTTATACATGAGGACAATGACAACAGTAATCTGATAAGAGTTAATAAATATAAAACTACACCAAACATTTTATGAATTTCTTTAGAAACATGAAATACTTTGTGCTTACCTCAAGCATGTATTTCACTGATTTACTTTCAAGGATATCCTCCCTGCCATATTTCCTCAGCCAATATCCCAATAATCCTACAAGGAGGTGAAATAAAGGGAGACAATTCAAACCTTAAATGTATAGCCTGATCAGGACCTGGTTGATATATATATATATTACAAGGTGTTCATAACACACTAGTCCTTGTCTTTATAGTCCATGCTATTCCAACAACGGCTGACTAGGCAGTGGAGATGCTTAGGCCAAAAACAAACATGTAGTAGGCATTGATCTGTGATAGACCTTCTACCCAAAACTAAAAATCTTCATGAAGTTTGGCGACTACAAAAATCATTCATGTAGAAGTGTCTACATTTTAGGAAGTATTACAATCTTGAGGAGTTTGAGGTTATAAACTGTGAAGCTAAAAATAGGAAACAAAATTGTATATGGCTAGACAAACAGATAATTGNCCCCCCTCCCTGAAAAGTTCTTGAAAAGTTAATTAAAGGGATTTGATAAACAATGGATGCTTGTTATAAGATTGGCCCATGTAAGCTGAAAATGGGAAGGGAGTATATGCAGATCAGGGTCCAGTTGTTCAAAATCAGTGTCTAATGACATTTTTCAACCTCTAATAATTTGGTCAATATACAAGGTAAAAAACTGGTAATTTTGTATGTAATTTTCTACCTTGAAAGTTTTATCTCATTTAATGGCTGAGTTTTAAAAATACACAAAAATTAAAATTTACACTTATCACTGATAGAGCTAATCACCTTTTGGACAACTGGGTCCAGGAGGATAAAAAGGTTATTTATCACATATTATACTGCGTTATCCAGTGAATATACCCATGTCATATTTTTTGGCGTATTAACCCATGTAATATGACATATCAGCCCTGTGATTGGTTGTAAGTTTCAATTGTGACGTCATGCCTAAGACAAATACATAAAGTCACAGACTTTCGCACTGGAGTCAAAATGGCGGCTTTTTACATTTCAAGGTTGCATGAAAATTGTTGTTCTACACCAATAAATGCAACAAATCTTGATTATGTGATAATAAGGATCTTACACTCGTTTTCATTTCATAATTATGAAATTTATGAAACTCGTCACGAATCTCATATGAAATGGAAACTCATGTAAGATCCTATATATGTGACATACAGTACTTACCATACTGGATTCCCCAGTCGCCAAGGTAGTTAATCCTGAAAACTGTGTGACCGCTGGCCTCATATAGGTTAGCTATTATATTCCCCAGTATTGTAGATCTAAAGTGCCCAGCATGGAAAGGTTTGGCTATGTTTGGAGAACTGAAAAATGGTTACCAATATAAACATTCTGTACAATAGATTTGAATGTGCTTAGAGCATACTAAGCATGTCTTCAATACAAAAAATTTGTCGATGTATTTTAGATAATTGGAATCAAATTCTTACGTTATGACTGTCAAATCAATGTACTGTCTCATGTAAAAACATAAATGGGGTAACTCTGTTCTTGTAAATAAGGCTACAGATGTTTGGATACCTCACTGCAACATGTATTTATGAAACCTTATACCATGATATCATTGACAGACAATTCTGAACAAGATGTAGTAATAAGGGAGACAACCTAACACCCATCAACTGTATAAAATGTGTCAGAAGTATGTAATAAAGGTTGTAATAAGGAGTATCCACTAAGGAGTAGATACCTGTACTCTATAAGAATTCTCTGTTTTTCGGTGTCCTCTGATAACGTCACAGTGCCGTATCTATCCTTCTGTTCCCTCACCATTTTCAGCGCATTCTGTAAAACACAAAAGCTGAATTACAAGAAAATGAATTACAAGACAAAATAAGAGGCCAATGAGTATAAGTTGTCATATGATTTTGTACAATTTTGACACAAATTCAGATGACCAAAAGGTCTTTCATACTTTTGATAAACTATTCTAAGCCTTATTTATCTATGAAGATAGATTGGCTGTAGAATTTCTCAAACAGTTTTTGTCCAATTTCCCCCCTTTTTGGCCATCAGAGCATTGACAACTCAGATTTTCACATTAAGTCATCGCCCAAGGCTATTTAACTCTTCTTGTCTCATTTCAGTGGCATTGGTTCATTATTAAATCTTTGGAAGAAGTCAAGGTTGTTTTCACTGATTCATCTATGATGTGTGAAAGTGAATCAACAAACTTATACATTGTTAGTTTTACCACACACCGTGTGAACAAATCATTCAACAAATCTCATTATGTTCCTCCTCAAGGCAAGAATGCTGTTGATTGATTGATTTATAAGAGGAGAGGAAAAATGCACGGCCAGACCAGGGTTCGAACCCGGGACCTTCCGAACTCTAGACGGACGCTCAACCAATTGAGCTATCTGGTTGGAGACGATCAACCCAGTCAAGTTCCGCTACAGATTGATTGCTTTTATGTCTGTTTGACTACCGAGTAGTTCGGTTATCCAGCAGACGAACATATGCTGTTCAGTCAATGGCGAAGAATAGTAACATGGAGACCACACCCACACCCACACCTCCCTTCCCCTCATCCCACCCAAACACTCGAGAAGCTCATTAAAAATAATCAAATGAAGGGATGGCATATGTATTATCAGGAATGTACATCTATGGAATTGTTTAATGACTCCAGACACATCAAAAACAAAGTGAATCAATTTGTAAGAAAGGCATATCGTCTTTCGTTATTAACTTCACAAAGGGTCCAGTATGGCTGTCTTCTGCATTTACAAAGCTCCTAAAATGACATTCATTGAAATTCTTCAAGGTTTCCTTTAACTTTCCCATCAATAAAATTTAAGTGCCTGCTTTCCATTTCATTTCTATTTACTCTTCACTCATCACAGCGACGAAGAGGTACTCGCCTGATGAATGCGGTTCCTTGAAAGTTTGAAGGAAATGGTGCCACTATTGTTTCTATGGTGACTGATCCAAGGTGACACACTTTTTGATTCCGTTTCTGTACTCTAAAACATAGCAAATTATCATTTTTCAGGTTATTGTATACTTAAACTTACTTGATCCACTGTTCAGAATTTTTCGCATTTACAAAGGAAGAATGATATTTCAGTTTCATTGTAACTGATTTTTTCAGATGTATGATTGTTGTAAAATATTGCACCTGGAGGATATATAAAATGAATTGATGTATGCCGATATGCACACATGTTTGATCAGATATTTCAAAGGAAACAAACACCAAAATACACATTTTACGCAGTTTCTTCTTAGTTTTAACATCATTGTACCTGTAAACAATACTTATGAACTTATTTATAATAAACAAATTACAAAAATCCTAAGAATCCCAAGTGGTTTGTCTTTCATTTTCAGAGATTGATTTTCGGAACTTTAACATAATTTTTTTTTCAAAAATATTTGGTGCGCAAAATATTTAGAGTAGAATGGGTATACAATGAGTAGACGCTTTTTGGGGATTTTCACACATCTGTAGGCTACACAATCATGTACGCTTTGATAATACAATGTACTTAGGTTCAGATAAGTTTGAATTTATATCAAATTAGCTAATTTAAAATATTAAAGGTCTGAAGCTCCTTTTTGTGTTTACTTCTACAAATATAGATATATTATTTATAGACACTGCTTTACCTGCTCATTGATATCGTCAACAGTTATTGATAAAATCTTCTCAGCTGGTACTCCAAGTCTCTTAGATATATCTTCAGCCTCATATCTGATGCTGTGGTCATGTCTATCAGATACAAGAAGATTGGTTAGTGAATATCTGCTAAAAATGTTGGCTCATGATAATTACCTATATCAATAGTTAAGAATGTGATGATGCAACTGATTTTAGTCTCATAATTTTGTTGAAAATATGAACCATTAGTTGGATTTGGTGCTGAATTCTCCAATTTTAATATCTATAGTTTTAACTCTTCCTTCTGGTGCATGAGCCCAGGCTACTTATAAATAATTCCTTGCATTCATAGGACTATATACAACTACGGTCAGTAATTTGTGGTATTAGATGATTTTTGAATATGCAATGGACACCATCTGTCAGTTGCAAAATACACATAAAGAGCATTTGTGGGTTCTATCTGTCAAAATACATAAATGTGCACAAATGCTTTTATTAATTGGTGAACTTTTGTATCATTACTTGTGTACTTTGCGGACTTTAAATACTGCAGCAGTAACAAAATGCTACCAGTTGTCATCATTCTTGTAGACTTCATCCATCAGACTTTAGTCTGGTAGACTTTATCTGGTAGACTTTATTCTTGTAGACTTTATCTGGTAGACTTTATCTGGTAGACTTTATTCTTGTAGACTTTATCTGGTAGACTTTATCTGGTAGACTTTATTCTTGTAGACTTTATCTGGTAGACTTTATCTGGTAGACTTTATTCTTGTAGACTTTATCTGGTAGACTTTATCTGGTAGACTTTATTCTTGTAGACTTTATCTGGTAGACTTTATCTGGTAGACTTTATTCTTGTAGACTTTATCTGGTAGACTTTATCTGGTAGACTTTATTCTTGTAGACTTTATCTGGTAGACTTTATCCATCAGACTTTATCTAGTAGACTTTATCCTTCAGACTTTATCACTTTTTGAAACTACATATGACTTGCCACAAAAAGTATACAATATCATTGTATAGTGTAAATAGCATGCTTGCCACTTCAGATAATCCATCCTCAAAAATTCATAGCTATAGCCACTTCAGCAGTATTTAAAAGTGCCTTATAAATTTGGCTCTAAAAGGACTATGTATGGTTTGGGCCTGTTTTGGCCCCCAAATGCACCAAAATTCAAAACCTTTAAATGAACTTTGAAATGACTGTTTCTTTAATTTTGAATACTTCCCAAATACTATTATGAAAGTATTTATTTATATTTCTAATCATTGTTGCCATGGTAACAAGTTCAAATTTGCATAAATTAGAAAAAATTGAATATTCAGTGAATATTGTGATATTTTGCATAGTTTTTCTCCTAGAAACTATAGAGCGCATGCTTGAACAAACTTAATATCAAAGGATAATGTGTAGGCACCTGTAATACATCTTTAGGAGAAATATAAAGTTTGTTCAAGAGTGTGCTCTATGGTAGCTAAGAGAAAAACTAGGTGAAAACCTGTCAAAATTGACTGAATAATCAAATTTCAATCATTCATGCAAATATGACCTGGTTACCATGGCAGCCAAAATTGAAAACACAAATAAATGTTTACATAATAGTACTGGGGAAGTATTCAAAATTGAAGAAACAGTCATTTGAAAGTTCTATTGCAGATTTTTAATTTTGATGGATTTGGGGGCCAAAAAAGGCCCAAACCATACAAAGTTCTATGTTAACATATATCTTTAATCCGAGCAAAGTTAAAAAGTGTTAGGTTCACATTGTTTATATTCATATGAATTCTGTTTCAATTGAAGCTCAGGGAACAGCATATATTTCAAAGATTGTTTATAATTACGATGGGTTCTCTTTTTGCTCTTGTAACATTTATGTTTTCATTGTATGTTAAAATCATTTTTAAGTCCATTTCCTAAAGGTTTTTGTTGGTCAGAGCCCTATGGTTATCAAAATATCAATGCCTTACAGTTTTAATCTTGACACCAACATTTATTTTGTTTTGTTTTATGAAATCCTCTTTCATTACACTCAGAAACAAATTAAAAAAAGGTTTGAATGCCTTTAACAGAATGCAAGAATAATGTATAAGCATTACAAGCAACATTTAGCAAAATATACTACATCTATGAGAGAGAAAATACCAACACACATTTTATACTTGATGTTCTCTTTCAGTGCTGTCTCTTCCTTTCTTCCTACATTGTCAAGTTCAACAGTCTTGGCTTGAACGGCTCGGATGAACTACAAAACACAAGAAACTTAGACATGAAATCATTTACCCACAGGAACCTGCAAAATAAGACACAATTACATAAGTGGTGTCCTTATACATGGGCTGGAATGAACTGCTGGTCCGCTGGCCCGTGGCCATTGGCTTTCCGGGTGGACCAGTATGTTTTTCAACAAGCTATCCCGCCAGGCCAGTAGATATTTTGTAAATTTATCTTAATTTTCAGCAGATTTGAAATGCTTTATCACAAGCCAAGAAAGCTCGTCAGAGCTCTAGATTTCCAAATAGTCTGATGTCTGAATATGCTAGGAATCTTGCTGCAGCATAATGGTAATATCAATAGGCTATGCAGTTTGGTGTAGCTTGTCTGTATACCTCAAAGGACAGTATTAGCCTAGAGGAGAAAGCCAATGTGGTCTGGTGGGTCTGAACAGTAAAATAAAATTCACGTATGCGTCTACGAACGAACCTGGATATCACGAAAGAAGATGCAGTTTTAGTTTCCCAGATCAAAGTTAGGGCGCAAGGCAACTCTAGAACCAATGTGCCCTTTTGTAGGACCGTGAATTCGGAGATATAGAACTGGCATATAACGGAGCCCTTACGAGTAAGCCATCGGAGACAGCCCCGCCCTCTACGATCCCTCATTGACTTCCCTTGATCCCAAAGGGCGAAGTACTGGCTGTTGCGCTCGTAGGTTTTCATCACATCGGAGATATTTAGTAAGTAAGGTAAGGTTATCTGTTGACGAAATATCGTCTTCGCTTTCTACTTATTTCCAACTGGTTTATTTCTGCGACTGTCTGACAATGGGGACATCCGGTGTGACACCGTGCACGTTGTCTAGGGAGCATCCGATAAGGGAATCAAGCCCCAGTCCTCTTGGTCGAGTGCGATATCCAGTGTGCCCCCCACCCCCCCGGACCACTCCACTCTCATATCCAGCATCAGTAGCTATGGGGTACCCAAAGGATCAATCATCAGGTTGCTTCTTCTATATAATTTTGTTTAATAATAGGCCACTGGAATCAAGATATAACAAGAGATCCCAGAGGGATCTTGGCACCCACCATTGTACCATCTTCATTAGTTTTTTGTCAGTTCGATCTTTTCTCTTCTTTCCTCTAATCTGTTTGATCGAGTCATGTTAACAGTAAATGCACCTTGAGGTAACTTTTTATCTAAACTTAATACTGATGTGTATGAAAGCCAACCTTCAAAGTGAGTTTGTCATTTCACATATTTACTAGTACAGTACTTGAAGTAAAAGAAATAGAATCGATCATTGCAATATGAGAAAGATCTGTTTAGTTCTTTCTTTAGCCATTTTGATTATGATCAGTCTCAAAATATAACATGCACAACGAGGGATCAAGGGGAACCTACATATCAAATTCAAGATCTTCCTGAGAAATAGTACAACAAACCTTCAATGTCAAAAATGGAAGATGGCTGTCGGTAGGCCATTTTGCTTAACTGATCAGTTTCAAAAGTAAACATGAAAAATAAAGGATAGTGGGGAACCTGCATATAGAATTTGAGAAAGAACCCTCCAGTACTTCCTGTGATATAGCACTAACAAACCTTAACTGTCAAAATCAAAGATTTGTTTTTTCGATCAGTCTCATAAGAAAATATGCATAACTTCATACCAAGTGGGAACCTACATAAAAAAAATTAAGAAAGATCTCTCCAGTACTTCCTGAGTAATAGCCATAACAAACCTTCACTGTCAAAATCCAAGATGTCTGCCTGTCTGCCATTTTGTTTATCTGATCAGTCTCAAAAGTTATGAAGGTCTAATTATAATACTGGAAAGCTAAATATCATTACTTTACTCAATATGAAACTTTGTTGGAGGATATCTTCAATAAGATTCATTAGTTTGGAAATATGTGATTCAAAGTTTTCATTGCTTGACAAAGGGACCAGCCTTGAAACCTTGCGACACCTGGAATACGTACATTGTTTGTATAAAAAGTAACACTTTGATATTCGTTGGAGGATTTTATTGCTCTACACATTTTTCCTGAAGTATTTTTATTGAAAGATTTTAACTGCCTTGTTCACACAACCTTAGTCATTCATCCTGATCCCACACTACATAGCCCTTTACACCATTAAGCTAGGTATCATTCCAAGACTCTTGCTTATTCAAAATAAGTAATTTAACACAATTGACATCTGTGACCTTGAAAGTGGGTCAAGGTCATTCATTTGAACAAACACTTTAGTCCTTTATCAAAGCATGCTACTGACTAATTACAATGATGTTAATGACGAAAAAGAATATGTTTGAATTGGTCAGATGGACAGATGATGCTGTAGCAGACTTATGACAATGAGCTCTGTTTCAGTTACCTCTTTGAGCCAGGTAAGCTGATGAGACATGCATTCATGGACAGGAATGACAACGTGGAAACTGTAACTGCAAGCTCGGTGTTCAGGATTTTTTGCCAGGTGTTTATAGGGTCCGGTACAGGGACCCATTCCCAATTGAAAAATGACCCTGTGTTTTCCTAATTTCAGTCTTTATTTTCCCAATTGGATTAGAAACATGTCTATGCAAGTTTCCAGTTGTTATATGTGCAACATTCAAAGTATTACCAACTATGATGGAGCAAAAACATTGATGTGTTTAATTTATTCATTCCAAACTTATGTTATATTCCCAAACCTGTACATGTGGGATTTCCCTGCAGATAGGGCATAAGAATTGTACCTGCTGCCCTTATTGCATTGCATTCGCCCCTGTGAGGAAGGCTTTGGGTTCTGTCCCCTGTCCGAGACATACCAGAGTCTGAAAAAATGGTAGTCTCTACTCCTGCTTAACGCTCAGCAATTTAGGAGTGGGACGACTGGTTCGCCCGTTGTCAGTTTAAAGTGACCAGGTGGGGCGTCCTGCTGGGTGTCTTCGGCAGTATGTTTCAGTGAGGTAGCACTATAAAGTCGGCATTGGTTCCGCGCTATCACTAGGAGACAAATTTGTACATATCGCATCCTCCCAAAACACACACACATACATCTTGCACACAGGGGAGGCCGTCCTTAAATGACCATAGCTGTTGATAGGACGTTAAACAATACTAAACCAAACCAAACCATGTACATGTGGGAACACTGATGATATTTCCCAATTTTTGCCAAATGTCGATGATATTTTTCCCAATGCTTGCTTAGGGGCCCTTTCCCAAAATAGCTGGCAAAATTCCCTGGTGTTGCTGAACTAGTCAGTTGGTCCCTGCCGATTATACAATATCGGCAGTATTTTCCCCTCATATTCCTTAGCCGTTAAAAAAAAGACAGTGCAGAGTTTGAAGCAGATATCAATAATAAATAAATTTAACTCAGCCAATTTTTTTTCACTTATTTTCAGTGACAGTACGTGTGTATCGGTGACGGGGGGTAACCCCTCTGAGGGAGAATTTGTGTGAAGGAGTCGTTTTTTCTCACATTTAAGACCCTTAGGGTATTATCCCCTTACGAAAATCCTGTTTCCGTCTCTGATCAGTGTATCCTCAACTATATTGCCGGATAACGGTCACTCAATCACTGTCTTAGGCACGTCAATTGTCAGCAGGGGTCGCTCCCAGGTAGATAACCCTTATACTCCCGTAATGTTAGAAAACGCCATGACACTTTCGCCGGTAATGCTGTATATGGTACCTTGGTTTGTTTAACAAAATGTTTGGTAATAATTGAATGACAGCTACTCAGTTAGTTGGGGAACTCATTATCGTGGTATTATGCACTGTTCACACGAATGCTGACAAAGTAACACTTCTTTAAAGTATAAAAAATATTCAAGTAGTTAGCTTCCCTTAGCTGATTTCAACTGGTGCATTAGAGATCGTAGATAATTTACAGGTTGTTTATAATGTGATTGGTTCATGCATGTTGAAGCACAATTTTTTTCCCTCTGCCACAACTTCAGTTTGTGTATGAGTTGTCTCCCCTGTGCTATAGTCGTTTTCCACAAAAAAAATGATGTAGGGTTAGTAAATGTCTTTATGTTGAACAAATTCTAAATACATTTCGTCCATGTTTATTACCGATAGGGAGAACAGTCCTTTAATTTTTTAAGGTAATTTCTTGTAAGTGACTGTTTAACATTTTAAAATTAAGATTTAATATGCCTGATATAAAAACTTACAATTCTTTCTATGGTAATGTGGAGATTTCAGAAATAAGCTATACTTTACTTTAGGATGACAATACTGTAAGGGTTGTCTCCCTTGCTGTGATTTACTTCAGTACTAGATATTGATTGCTTCCCTTGAGTGTGAGTTTACAGTTGACCTCAGAAAGTATGAATTATTAATAGCATACAATTGTGAAGGAACCAGTAAAAACCTGGCTTTCTGTTCAATTAATTGACCCATGAAGTATTTAAAAAATAACTTGATATTTTTAGTTGACCCTGCTAACTGTCAATGTCAACACAAGCTTGGTCTTTGGCATGCTGTAATTCCAGTTACTTTTTAATCATTTTCATAAAGTAAGCATTTCGTGTTAACTTACACTTCGTATGAATTTCCGTCTTAAGAAAAGAGCCATCACTTAGTTTTTTCTCAAGGCATACATGTGTCCATGGGCGCATCCATTACAGTAACCCGGATGTTCTGTAGGAAGTATATGTATACGCAAAGCGGTATGCGTCGATAAATATCCGGATTTACATTTTTTGTCCGATTCCATTAATATGTATGGTAAATTTTCATTTGACACGTTTAATACTATACTTTTAATCTCCGGTAAACTTCATGTAAAAATTAATGCGTCAAAACTGATTAACAAGCTATTTACGTTAAAATGCAATTAGTTTATATCGTTATGACAACTTGTTCATACAGCTTAAAGTTCATAATAGAAAATTATTCCGACATTTCCGAGACTGTTTGCTGACCTGACATAACCGCTGAATTATATAGTTTTGTCCCTGATCTCCACACATTGTAACACAAGCACACAGATTACAATATATAGAGTTAAAACAGCAAGCACATAGTTCTAAAGTACGTCAGGTGCTGTACCCGGGCCATACCTGGCCTCACTCTCCAGAGACTAATAGTTTCCGAACCTCAAGTTCCGTCCCTCCTCTCTGCACCTATTGTAAATAAGTAACAAATTAAGGCACGGTGCAGCAATTTAATCTAACTTTTAATCTATTTCCCCCCTACCGAAACAACAATACTAGATGTACCATATGGCAATGACAGTAACTCTGTTTGTTTTGGAGAGTTCACACTCGCGTGTACCTATCTCTATTCAATCCATGACTGACTTGGCCGCCATTAGATTTAATCCATGACTGACCTGGTCGCCATTAGATTTAATCCATAAATGACCTGGTCGCCATTAGATTTATTCCATGACTGACCTGGTCGCAATTAGATTCATAGCCCTTTAGCACACACTTAAATTCAACTGTCTCCCGTCAACCAATGCACGTGTTACCCAAATAGTAAGCTTTGACCTCAAATGCACTTTTGACCAAAGTGCTGCTCTCTATTGATACCACGGACTTAGATGACTAATCTAATTCCGTGATTGATACCCACTATCTTACATGTTAAAAGATGGGTCCATTCTTTATCATTAATTACATAACTTTCGGTCTATTTTGTTACACTATACTCCTCATTCAATTAACTAACTATTTTCATAAGGCTATATAGACCATGATATTAGTAATAGAATCGTCCCAAAACACTACCTTGTCGGATGTCTATTGTAACATTCTGTATGGATGATTCCTGGCCGTTTATCACTACATAAGATGGCATTTATACCAGCTATGAAAGCTACGACCCGAAATCATGTTGACTTAATCATTATAACGACGTTGTAATTTTAACGTTGGATACCAATGACTCGAAATATGACTGTTATATTCAATAACCAAGCATATATAACACATACACTTATTTGAACTAAATGTTGAGTTTTTATAAAATGTTTCAATTATCTACAAGATAAACATATTCCAGAAACGTAAATATAATACTGTTTTCAGTTGGCATTCATAGGTATTATGCGCGCTTTATGTTGAATTTGTCTTTGTCCATGATATCCATACTGTCTAGGCTAAGAATGCCAACTGAAACACGGGGGTAATCCCGATACTCGCTATTTCGCTTTCCTTACGTCAGAGTAATACTCGCTGTTTGGATGACGTCGGAGCAAAAATTTAGTTTTGCGCCAAATACGGCTTACGGCAGAGACAAATTATCCAACGTTTGGAAGAGTGTTGCAGCAAAATACAAGATTACGCAAGTATAACGATGTGATATAAGCAACAGAGTTGAAACAATGATAACACAAAAGCTTGTTGAAGGTATAGATACTATCACATACACGTGTCATAGTAGATTTAATACTTTAATTATGAATATTCTGACGTAATACAAATCTATGTGTGTTTGATATGAAGATGAATAAAACAATTCCCCGTGTCATTGAAATGGAGTAAATAGCTACAATAATAGAACGAATGTAAAAAACTGGCACAATAGTTGTGGTGGTGTTACATGTTGACCAGCACACTTATAGTTTGGATAATGTTGAGTCATAACAATCACCGGTCCCCTCCCCCTATTTGGAAAAGACATGCAAATGTAGAGACAAAGTAGCTTTGAAAATGAGTTTATGTTACTCTTTTATATACACTCAACATGTCAGTCATGCAATTGTTATATCACTTGAGTAAGCAAGTTAGACATGTTATACCCCGCAACGAAGTAAGGGGGCATACTGGAATCAGCATGTCTGTCCGTCCGTCTGTCTGTCTGTCCCTAGAAAAAGTTTGCAAGACAACTCTTTCTAAAGTTATTGACCAATTTCAACGAAACTTTCCAGATATGATAATTACCACTTAATGTTGTGCATTCAGGTACCATTTTTTTTTATTCTGGCCCTTTTTGACGAAATTATTTATGGCCATTGTTTGAACAAATCCTGAAACTTTTGGTACGGACAATCCTTCTAAAGTTATGGATCGATGTCACCGAAACTGTCCAGATATAATAACTACCACCTGAAGTTGTGCATCAAGGTATTCTTTTTATTTTCTGACCTTTATTTACAAAGTTATGGCTCTTTGTTGAAAAATGTTTGTACGGACAACTCCTTCAAAACTACGGGGCTAATTTCAACGAAAGTTTTCAGATATGATAACTACCTCTTGATATTGTGCATCCAGGTTGTTGTTTTTTCATTCTCACCTTTTTTACGGAGTTATTGTCTTTTTTTGAAAAATCCTTGTCCTGATAACTTCTCCTAATCAACTCGGCCAATTTCAAAGTTTACATATATGCTAACTGCTCCCTGATGTTGTGCATCCAAGTAGTACTTTTTCATTTCGACCCTTTTAAAAGGAGTTATGGTCCTTTGTTGAAAAAAACCTTTGTCTGTCTCTTAAACCACTGGTTCGATTTCAATGAAAGTTTACAGATATGGTAATTACCCCTTGATGTCGTGCATGAGGAGGTGCCATTTTTTTCTCATTTCGACCTTTTTTTAAGGAGTTTTGGTCATTTGTTTGAAATCTTTGTCCTGCCAACTCTTCCTTAACTACTATGACGATTTCAGCAAAACTGGTTCATCTGGGCTTACAAGATTTGGTTTGCAAGTATGTTTTGCCACTGGAAGGGAGTACAGAAAGTATGTCAGTTACCTATATACTTAAATAAGTGTAGAGCTGAGTGAATAAAGAAAACATTACTGGTGGGAGACTATGGATTGCTATACCTTACTTAGGCTTTAGCTGGTCGGTTGGCTGACGGGTTTAGCCCCTACATGAATCCGCCCTTACGGGTTTCATCTCACTGACGGAAGTCGATGTTCTGTCGGCGTTAGGTTGTTAAAGGATGTGAGGTCGCGTCACCGAGCATTTCCAACTCCCTCCTTGAACTTGTTTAGTCATGTGATTTTGTTTTTTAATAGTCACACCATACATGTGCGAGCTGCAGTGTGTGGTGAATGAAATATATGTGATATGAATAAGAATGTAAGTTCATATAATTGACTGATACTTTTTTTTATTCCGATAGCACCTGTCTAGATTTCATAATTACGAACATATTCTTTTTTTNATTTTTTTTTTTTTTTTTTTTTTTTTTTTTTTTTTTTAAAAAAAAAGGGGGGGGGGGGGGCGTACGCCCGTTACGCCCTCACCTGGACCCGCCCCTGAGGTAACACAGATAGACCTAACTGAAATTTCCTACTCCTGCTGCCCTTTGGAAGATTTTGTTTGTTCTTTCCCAGACGCCGGGAGCTTCATTCTGAAAGTGATTTCGCTCTTTGATACAACTTTCGAAGCTTAGCCTAGCGGAGAGAAGAAAAAACTACGGCAGGTAAAACCAGTCTTTAAATATGATTATTACTAAATGGCATTTGTATTGTGACTGATCACGACATCACGACAAAATAAGTAAATTATTTTTTTTATTCTATTTTACCATTATTATCCCTTCAATAATTTTTGTAGTGAGAAATTGTATAGTTAACTGTTATTAATTGACCCCAAACTTAGTTAATAAGGTACAAGATAGAATTAGATACAAGAAGATTTATTTAGTCGTACATGTTTTAACGTTAGCTCTGTATAGACAAAACGTAGTCTAGCATTTTAGTTATTTTCCGTTTGTTAACTTTACCACGGACTTAGATAGGTCTTATCTAATTCCTTGACTGGTATATATGTGTAGGCCTATGTCAGTGATATCAAATTGGACTCTCTTCGTTTTTACGTCTGTTCTATAACTTATATCACGGAATTAGATTAGATCTGTTATCTAAGTCCGTGCTTATATTGTGTAAATGAATAGATCAACCATACTTCTTCCGTTCCCATTAATTTAATTAAATCAATAAAAATGATTAAAGCACCTCTCGATGAATTGGGAGGCCTCTAATTGGATAACAAACAAAAACAACTTGTTCAAAATTTACCCGCAACTTATAAATCCGGAAACTAAGCTCATCGTAACCGTTTCAGTGTTTAACATTTGTTGCCCATTTCCATCATCTGCTATCGGCGACGAGCGACCCCACGAACGAGAGGTGAGGAACTTGCAAGTTTGCACATTTGAAGTAATTTAGCTATCAATATGCGTTTGACATTTGGTACACAACAACCATTTGTTCTTTTGAACGTGAAATTTTGTTATTTTAAACTACAAATAGTTAGATTTTATCTTTATTTATATCAATGAGATTATCTGAAAATACTCGGGCTGTTCCCGCCACTCTAAACATTTTCAGTATATTTTAATGTCGCAATAAGCAGGTTATATGTATATTTTTAAATATTTCTGAAATAATAATGTTTGAAAAGTTTAAACGGATGGGATATTAGCAGTTAAGCAAGTTCATTTCATGTTGTCAACAGTTTAGTGCCACTGAACACTGGAGGGATTGAGGGGGTGGGGCATGTTTGAAGACTGCATTTTCTATTAGATGAAACATTTCAATTAAGTTCATTATATGCATAATTCGAAAATCCTCTAAAATTGTAAAAGGAGAGAAAAAAATGCATGGTCAGACCAGTATTTGAACCTGGATTTGGTCCTCCAAACTCCCAAGTTACCCGATCACTGGGGACGACCCAGTAGGTCCACCTAGTCTTACATTCCTTATAGTGTGTATTAGGAAAGAAGTTAGTAAAAAGAGTATGTACATTCACTGGGGGCTAAAACCTGTGACTGGAGACTTTCTATTTGGATGCTCTACTGCTAAGCTTAAGGGAAATTCCCTGTAACCAAAGTGAGTTTGACAAATCGACACAAATCTAGATAATCAAAATCTAAACATTCCTATAATTATATTGGACTTGGTTCTTTCCTTGCATAATTAATGACGCTATGTACAACGTACATCCTTTACAAGATTGTCATTTGAAAAGTGAGTTCTGAATTAATCTACAAAGAAGACTGCTAGTATTTGATGTCTTGTACTCTTATTTCAGAACTGGCACTATACAGTATATTTAAATGATATTATTCGGCACAAATATGCAACTTTCTGTAACTAGTTTTTGACTGCAGTTAATATTCTTTTGTTCAAGTTTATCCTGGTTTACAGAGATGTTTTCTCTCTGTAAATTATTTATTTATAATAATACACCTTAAAAAACAAACAGACTATAATCAATTATGTACCCCAAACAACTGTTTTCATGTATTTATAAATTGCAGGCAAATAAATAGGGTTGGTAGAATGTGTTTGTTAACTTTCCTCAAAATGCATAAAACATTTTAATGAGCAGTAACATAAATTTGTGTTGGTACAGAAAGCTAGCCGACATTTTTATATTTTGACCTTGAGACATTTATAGCCAGTAGCTATAATACATGTACATCATATCATTTACCTTTTTCAGATGAGTCAGTAACTATCTGGTAATTTAACATAAAATATCAAGGAAAAAAAAGAATCGTGTATTGTTGGAATAATCACTTCCATTTCATTCCCCCCAAAAATTAAAAAAAAACCTAGCCACTAGCCCTAGCTAGCAGTTAAAGATATTTTGTTTGGTCTCACCTATGATCCTCATCATTCCTAGGTAGCAGAATACAGTAGAAATGGCCCGACTCTGATAAACAAGGCACATGTCGAGGAAATGTAAACACAGCGGATTTACCCTACACAACACATGTATATATATTTGTAAACTGCATTTCATTTACAATACATATAAAGCACTGAGAAGTGTATAAACCTCTTTTTTCTATGTATGTCACTTGTGTGAAAACCATGGTTACCACATCAAAAATTACCAAAAAATGCCAAAAAATGCTATTTTTAACCCAAAATTTGACCCCCGCAACTAGTAATTTTTTTCCTAAGCTCTGTCTGAAATTAAAGATTACCTACCTGGTTGCAGAATTATCTGGGTCCCAGTAAAGTTGTAAAACTTGATTTTTTGCAATTTTGCGTCGTGTGCTGTTGTCAAAATTTTACCTCCTGTAAAGCTAGCTTTTCATATGTACGCACCCTTTCGTATAATGGCCAAAATTTTATTCTCGAACCAAAGAAATCTTCTTTCTTTTTTACAAATGTGAAGCTCACATAGCCCACTTCATCATGTTTATACCAATTTTAATAGTTTTATTTTTATATTTTTTTTACATATCATTATACAGGGGTTAGCCATTTAACAAAAATATCACAAATGGCCACAACCCTCTACTGTACACTACTACCCTAGATTTATTCACAGGGACCTGATAATTTGTTACAGCTATATTTGGACCTAGACTAAGGTGTTCAGAGTAATTTTACATGGTTTAGGGGTTTATATCGACTTTCGGTAAAAATGACACCCCCAATGATCATATAAACGAGAAGGGTGGAAAGCTCTCGATGTCAAATTGTCGACCCCACCTTTCTTTCTTGCATCAAAAACAACATTTCAAGTTGATCTACAGGAAAATGCTAAGTTCCTTTCGAAAGATGGATAATTTTGCTTTTAAAAACTTCCTATATGCAAAAAAATGTATTCTCCTTCCGCAGACATGATCTCCGTTTCCTCCAAAAACACACGCCATTTCAGAGTTTAGAAGTATTTTCACAGTCATCGTGTCACTCTTTTGAATATTAATGAGGTTGAGGTCAGCGCATGCCGTGACCGACCAGCATTGCATGTTTCAGCAAGTGCTGACCTCAACCTCATATATATTACTCAGTGGCGGATCCAGAGACCTATCTGGGGGGTTTCCAAATTTCCTGGGGGGTTTCCATGTGGGGAAAAATTGAGGAAAATGGTGAAAATACATGATTTTTAAAGAAAATTCTCAGGGTGGGGGGTTTCCTGAAGCCCAAAAAAACCCTCTGGATCCGCCACTGTTACTCTGAACACATTAGTTTAGGTCCAGATATAGCTGTTACAAATTATCAGATCCCTGTGGTTTTATTGAATATATGGACTCTCAATCATAGTAAATAACACTGCAGCCAAGAGTCCATTTATTTTGGCAGTTATATATGCACCTATACAATTTGTTTACCTGGACCCCACATATTAATTGAATGATATATCACACCTTGGAATATGACAGATTATGACTGAGTTAAGCCCTAGCGAACATCTCTGGTACACGTTACAACTAACACCCTTACAAGACAGTTGTGTCTATGTGGCCTGGCCCTCAGTGTTTTTGTTACCTTCATTTTTCTACAACCTATTCCATTATGAATTGGGAAAATAAATCATCATTTGTATTGAATTATGGAATATATTCTTCGGTTTTTGTCATTTTGGGAAAATAAGGCACTTTTTACTGAGGGAAAGCAGTCTGTATTTGGCAGTAAAACTGCAAGCGAAGTTCTTAAAGACAATGCAGTGATATCTTATAATATTTATATTAATAATTTGAAGATGTTATTAAATCATTCTGAATATATAGCTTTGTGGAGTGTATTCTTACAGATTTGTAGAAGAATTTGTCACTTAGGTATTTAATATTTTTTGTTATCTCCGTACCCATAGCACCACTGCAAATAGATGTTAATGTATTGGGGATCTCCATTTTTATGATAAACTCAAGTTTATGAACAAATATATTATTTGCAAATTGTATTTTTAAAAACTTCATTAAAAATATGTATTTCAAGTGATGAAATGTCAACTACAAATTATATTGAGTGAAATTATGTTTTGGTATACATCCATTTGTAACACTGATGAAATTTATTTTCGTGATCAGTTTCAATGGTTAAGTTGTACATATCACATAAAAGTCCTGTAGAATAAAAAAACACTTGTGAAGTATGATATTTAATTTGTGATGCTGTACAGATTTTTTCCATAGTTTTACAACTCACTGAATACAAGCTGTATGAAAAAAAAACTATTTCAATAAAAATAATGATAGACTTTCCCAATTTATGTGGGAACAAGCTGTTGTAAAATTTAAATATGTATACAAGTTTTGTGTACTAGTGTTATACAAATAAAAGGGTTACTAGCTAGTCTATAGGTATCTCGTCTCACAATCTACTCTACATGAAATGGTATTTAGTTTGTGTCCCAGCCATTGTGTACAGGAGTGTCATGGGGCTACTAAGCTTGATAATGTAGATGATCTGACAGTGACAATAGGGAAGTCGGCTGGGGGGGGGGGGGGGGGGGGGGGGGGGGGGGGGGGGGAGTCGTTGATAATGATCTGACACAGCTAGGCTACGGAAGTCCGTGAACTAGTCCTTACTATTGTACTGTACGTAGATGTGTTGATGATTAATGAGGATGGTATATATTTAATGAGGATGGTATATATATAACTGAGTCAAGGCCCAAGGACACAGGCTTGTATATAGGTTCTATAAGTGGATAACACAAACAGGTGTGAGAAGCAGTTTATATAGCCATACCACTGTAAATACATTCAGATCTACTAGAAAATCGATCACAAAAGGCGAAGGAGCAGGTAATTCTTGTAATTTTTTTGGAGTGTCTTCTGGTTTCAATCATACAATAGACCCCCTCAGATTTATTTTCCTTACTGAGATTGATGGGAGTACTAGTGTAGCATCTATGTCTAACAAACAAATTTCTAGTTCATCATTTGTTGGTTTTATTTCCTTCAGATATGGATGTTCAAGCACAACAAAGATGTGCCTTAACCAGGAAAGCGCCAAAATTGTCACGACTTCAAAAGCCGCAACCACGAAAACAAATTGGCTTGACCAATATCTCAAGTCTCCAGAATGTTATCAACAAGAACTGTAGCAACCTGCAGAGTTCTTTATTGACAACAGATTCTGTAAACATCCTATCTGAAGATAATTACTGCAGCAGCTTACCAAGGAACGACAGGTACAAAGACTCGTCAAGTGATCCATTGTGTAGTGACGATGATGATGTTGTGATAACGGGTGTAAGCCACATTCCACTTAGCTATAGTCAAGAAGCATTAGAGGAAGCAACCAACAATTTGATTTCTGCTTTAAATATAAACAAACAGAATCACCAGACGACAAACAATAGCAACCAGATTGATGTCAACGCTAATAATGTAGTGAAAACATCTCCAGATGAAGTGAAAAGGAATTTAGGTAAGTTATTGATGTCATTGTCCAATTAAGTTATTATAGTCCCATTTTGTACTACTGGAAGGAATTACAGGGTTAATTGAGCTCAGAGTTTCTGAATTTAGTGCACAAGTATAAATATTCCCTTTCACTATCTTTTATCTTCTCTTGGCCTAGCACCCACTATCACATGACATGATCTTCAAATAGATGTACCGGTAGGTGGTCATTACTATGTAGATGTAGAGAGGTAGGTATATCTGAAGATAGACTACATGTAATGTACCAGATTTCTTGTAAATTTTAATTATGAAAACTATCAAATGTATGCGCTGTATCGCTTTACATTCAGTATGTGAAACAAATTAGTTTTCTGAAATAAAATAAAAAAGATATCAGAAATTTATTGTTTTACTTGTTATACCTGTAGCATTTAGTCATGTAATTTGCATAATGTTTTTATGGAACGCTGTTTAAAATTTTAGTTGATGCTATGTCGCAAGCAGTTAAGAAAAGGGCCCCTCGAGGAAACAAGCTTATAAGACCTCCACCTTTGAAAACCAAATCCTTACAGCAAAGTTGTGAAGGTATATAAAGGATGTATTATGTAGGTTGAGCCTTAATGTTTGTTTATTACACTCATGGTGATATTATAATTACTCTTTATCAATTTGACCTAACAAATTCTGGGGCATAGAGGCACGGTAGTCTAGTGGTAGGACGCTGGGCTCGTGACCGAAGGGTTGTGGGTTCGAGTCCCATCACGGCACTGTGTTGTATCCTTGAGCAAGATATTTTACTCCGCTTGTTCCAGTCTACTCATCTGTAAATGAGTACGTGGTTGGGCAGTGCAAGAATTGTAGAATACTAGCTGTGAGCGCCAAAATGGCAGCACCGGCTGTATGCTCTGAGGGAGTTGAGAAAGATATTGGCTGGTTGCAAAGGCCCTATAACCAGGGTTAATAATTCGTGAAAATGCTTTGAGATGACCTATGAACTAGGTTGTGATAAAGCAGTATATAAGAACCTCAAATTATTATTATTATGGCTGCACCAGTGAAGCTAAAGTGATCATTTCTATTTAACTCTTGCAAGGTTTGAAATAATCTATGGTAGTCCAGTGGCGGATCCAGGGTTTTTTTTTGGGCTTCAGGAAACCCTCCCACCCTGAGATTTTCTTTAAAAATCATATATTTTCACCTTTTTCCTCAATTTTTCCAACATGGAACCCCCCCCAGGAAATTTGGCCCCCCCCCCCCAGATAGGTCTCTGGATCCGCCACTGGGTACCCCTGTTGAAGTAGAGAGGAAAGTCTTAAAATCAATTTTACAGCATTTTTTGAATTTTACAAACGATTTTGTGAATATAGTCACGAAAATATATCTGGTGAAAAAAGATATTGAATATTATCATAGAACCAAGTGGGAAAATAACATAAAATGAAAGATATTTCACTGTATATATTAGAAGCGTGTGATTACTTTCAGCCCTGGAGATGGAGCTGCTGAATTACGTAGAGAAGCTAGTTGATGACAGGCTGTCTCTCCAATGTACCCTACAGTTCCGAGACTTTGTCAGTAAAAATGGTTCTAAGATTGACGAAAGAAACAAAGGTAGATATAATGAACTCACCTGTGTTGATTGATCTGAAGTTTGTATCACACTGTAGTTAGTAGCTGAACCATTCTGCGACATCCAACAGTTGTATCACTAGGACTAATTAATGGATCATCTAATGACATTGAAAGCATCCTATGTACTGTAACAGTTCTGTCTATCCCATCAATTCCAGCAATAATGACAAGGATATTGTTAATCAGTCATCTATATTCAAAATGTTAATGCTAACATTGCTCAATATATACATGATTGAAACAGATCTGTTTTTATTTCTTCTTTAAAATCATTTTTTAGGGCTGATGGACAATTGCTTTGACTGTATCCAAGAGGCCATCACACGAAACACACTAGATAGTGTAGTAGAAATCAACCTGAAGGACATCCTGCTCCTCCGCAGACAGAACTGGAACCCCCCACACATGCAGGATCGGTTCCAGAAGGGTCAGGTACAGCAGCTGACACATAGGCTCCAACCACAGACACCTGCGAATCAGTATCAGGATGTATGATTGGACATATCCTGGTGTATAGGGAGTAATGATAATCGTTTAGATCAATTATCATTAAAATATGACACCCACCCACCCAACCTTCATTGATTGGTAGAATATGTAGAGCTATGATCAAACCTTTAAAACATCTTGATAATATACATTTATGGTCCTTGCTTTGGGAGATATCAATATTTGATTTACATCAACGTATGTTCTATGCTGTTACTTTGAAATCCTGGACCAAAGTGAATACCCTTTCCAATTTGTAGAGAAGTTCCAAATGAGGAAATTATGCAGGGGAATCTCAATGTTTCGTCTCCATGTCATGTGATGAGTTTAAACCTATCAGAAACATTCTAACAGATGAGGTATGATTATACTCAGGATAGGTCCATACATACATTCTGTTATTTTTTTTCGCAGGTCTTTGTGGCTCCAGTTGTATATCATAAATTTGTTGAAATATGTTGTTGTTTTCTCAGTTAAAATAGATGTTATATGTTGTTGCTATAATCTGTTGCCATGTGATGTAAGGAGATAATTATGTACATCTATGTGTTCTGTTGATGATTTAACAAGGTATAACAGGATTATCAGATAACTATGTTGTTGGTATTTGTAGACATCAGATGTGACATGGAAAGAGATCTCTATGAATCTGAGTGGGTCAAGTGATTCCTCATATGGTGACTCGGAGGACACAGAGTCTAGTCCTGGACAAGTCACAACCAGAACAGAGACGTCTACACACCTCATACAAACCCAGCAAGTAAGTGACAGAAGTGATGAAAATTTAACCATGTTTAAATAGAATACTCTACCAGCTATCTGTGAAAATTAACAAGAAAATACACCCTTTGTTAGTACAACACCTGTTTCATCCGCTGTATATGATTTAAGCACATTACACACAAACAAGTTTTACTGTATGTTGATCAGGATCTGGTTAACCTTGATGGCTTTCTGCTGATTAAGGTATTGTTTTTATTTGACAGAGTACAGACTCTGGGTTTGGCGAGGATGAGATTCTCTGGGACTGTGAAGAGGAATTCTGCAAAGACTTACAAGAAATTAATGGGTATGATACTTCTGTATATGTAGGATAAATCAGGCTTAATATAAATTCATTTATACAATGTACATATTTCAATGTCTAACATTTATGACATTTGTGAAATTCTAATTAAAAGGACTACTGCCCAGTCAAACTTTCACCATTGATTGGTAAATCTATATTTACCCCCTGTTAAATTTAACCTTCAAATGTAATGACTATTTATGTTAAGCTGTATACGAATATTTGCTGTCATGATAAATTGACCCTCATTATGGAGGAAAAATGGCAAAAGTTAAACTGAGAGAAAACAATCCCACTATAACTTGGAGTAAATGTTATCTATGTATATTACTACTCTAAAGCATGTTTTAACCGAGCTGAATTAATTCCTGAATCTTTTTCTTATTTCAGTTTCTCTAAAACAAGGTTGGAGGACATTCCTGAGGCAGAATGCCAGGGAAATAAAGGTAGATATATCACAATAAGGTGTAGATTTATGGTCAGCAAACAAGTCAGGGCAGTAAAGGTATTTCTCTCATTTCCCCGTGTGTAAGCTAGGGCTGTCCAGAGTAAGAAAGGGGTGTAAGAAATTTCTATCTTACACGAATTTAGAAATCTCCGAAGACGCAATGCCGGAAAGGCCATGTGGTGAAATCAAAACCTTTCACGATATATTAACCGTATATGTTGGAAAGATGCGATTATTTTTTTCTGCGCAAATACTGTTGGCAAATATGGGGTATGCAAAATCTGGCTGACGGANGGGGGGGGGGGGGGGGGGGGGGGGGGGGGGGATTGATATTTTCAAAATGGTGTCCAGTCCAACGCATTTTCTCAGCAAAGCCTCAGGTTTTACCAAATTTGAAAACCTCTCTGACGGAATTTCCCTATCCTACACCCATGAGCATGAAAGAGTCTTATATTATATCATGACTATGATGTAGATAGCTAGGTTTGATTTATTTGCCTCCTCGCAATAGTTCAGGTCTGATGCTGCCTTTTGAGTACCACCTCACTGAAATACCATGCCAAAGGCACTCAGCACCTGGTCACATTATACTGACAACAAGTAAGCCATCCTCGATACTCCAGGGGCTACACTGTCTGCACCCATTGGAATATGTCATGGCAAAATAAAAGACACGTGGCTAACTATTTGATTGGTCTCGGGTAAATATAACCTGACTAATCGTTTGGCTGATAGCCTCCTTTGAAGACTACTGAGGAGCGACACCTAACTTCAAAGCCAGTCAATTTTACAGTTATGCTCACACAGGATTGTTTTGATGAACATAAAGGATCAAACATGTCTCTTTGTTTCATCCACACACTGACTGAGTCATCAATTTTGCAATGATATATTCCAGCAGTGAGCGTACCCCTGAATTATCAAGGAGGTAGGTCAACCAGTCCTAACTGCTAGTGATTTAAAGCTGAAGGTCAAAAAGAGAGTATCAAGAACCAGTTTTTAAGGACTGACATGCAGGTTTGCCTTAGTCAGGGGAGAGAACCCATAACCTTCTTTACTTGAGCAAATGCTCAACACCAGGGCTAAAGCATGGTTTTGCAAAGTGAAGTGTTTGGAAACCAATAAAAATGGAAGAAATGAGAAAGAAAATAAATGTTTGGAAACCAAAACAAATGTAAGAAATGAGAACGAAAATAAATGTTTGGAAACCAAAACAAATGTAAGAAATGAGAAAAACAATTAGTTGTCAAGTGTTTGGATGGGTGCAGCAGATTTATTTTGGTCGCTTTTGAGTCCCCAAGAGGGAAGGAAAAGAAAATCCTCAAATCTGCAAGGGTTAAGAAATGTATAAGAAAGAAACATCAAAAGTATGATAGGGACAAATAATTCACACATCAGTGTATTGGAGTAAATAGTATTACTTTAAGACAACTTCGTGTTTATTATTATTTGAAAATTGATCGATCAATGAAATTTCAAATCATCATTTTGCCTATTGTAGAGATTGCAGAATTGTTAGCTGGACTCCAGATTACTGGAAAGAATCAAAGCCTAGTTAAAGTAAGAAAAATACTTAACTTACAGAAGACTATTGGCAAGGATCAAAGCCTTGTTTAAGTTAGTAAAATACGTAACTTACAGAGTATTATTGATGAGACTAACTTAAGGATTCCTGTTCCACTGCAGGGTAGATTTTCGTATATGCAGTAACCTCCCTTTATCCTCCGTTTGGATAAAATGGTAATAATGTTAGTCCATGACACTTCCGTTGACCAGGTAGCTCAATTGATTAGAGCAGTGTTCGAACTCCGGTGTAGCCCCACTGAATTGTTTCCACTTAGATCCCACAAGTTGATTATATTTTGTTCATTTCATCTTTTCGTCTTTATTATTTGTCACAAAAGTCCCACAAGTTATGGTTTTCGTTATATTCAATTATTCATGCTGGTAAAAAATAACTGTCACAAGTTAAGTTCGCACTTTTCATTGTTGGTAATTTTTATTCTGAGTCTTTTTAATCTTGTAACCTGTTCTGATGAACATCTCTGATTATCTATTAAATAGGAGGCAGAACAAATTTTACGTTCACATTTCAATGAGAGGAAATCAACATCACCGCCTCAAGTGACCACCTACCAACCCCCTGCCCCTCCAGAAAATTCCAGCTTCCCTACATCACCAGTTAATTGCATGCCGTCGCAACCACCAAAGGCAGACAACTACAAACTTCAAAAGAGCGTGGACTTGTCTAAGTCAGCGGTGCCCCTGTTAGACCACTGGTACCTACTGCCCCCTCCCCCACCACCACCAATGGAGGAGGAGGAGTCAGAGCACCACCCTGTCAGGCTAAACAGACAGCTGTCAGAGACCAAACAGGTACTCCCACACTTCTCAGTCATTGTTAGCAACAGGTGCTTTCTTAATATGGATTCTATTTCAATTATCTAGATACATTTGACCTCTGAAATATGAACTCCCTGCTGTATTAAGTGTGACTTAAACTTACTTGTCCCTTTACCAGTAGATCATGTACTTTTTAAGTTTTTCAGATACCAGGAAAAATCAAAGTGTAATTATGATATGAAAGAGGATGTTTTATGAAATTAAATAAATAATTGGTCTGAAAATAGCTATTTACATGTTAATCTGCTCAAAATTACCTGATAACCTCCATGTCATTTCTAGATATATGACAGATTTCAATAAGACCAACAAGTTTAGCTGAATGATAGATTGTTATTGCAGTAAAAACCTGTGTAAACCAAACCTTATCATATTTCGCGCCGTTGACTACAAGGAATGAGCGTGAATAGTTTCCCTAATGGTTAGCCCAGTAGGTGGCAACCTGTATTGGCATGACAGGCACGTGCAGCGGGGGAGCTGGCAAGTCAGTTTAGGGCAACGCACTGGTCAGGACGGACGGTTTAATTTTTCATTTAATTTTCTGATACATACTATGTACATTGATTCTGATAGTAATTGACCAGGTCGATGGAAGTTTTTGTGTAAATGTGAATTTGATAATAAAACAGCATCACTGGTGCAGGCCAGTGTGTTGTGAACAGCCTATGGGTGTTTGTTGTTGCCACCTGGGGGGGGTCATTGGAGAACACCTGCTAGCTTCCCCAGATTCATTCAAAGTAAATTGAACGTCTTTCATGAAAATCTCTCTATTTAAGATAAAATGTTGGTTTCAGGACACATTATTTGAAATTCACATGAGGATATCCCTCTGCTTATTATATTAGTTGAGACAGCTTTCACTAGCCTTGTTGATTTTCTCTAAATTTATTAATTAAACAGCGACATTAAAATGATGTACAACTTGAATGCCTGTAAAAGTGTATAGTCCTGATGAGATATCATGGAGATCTTACATGTTGATCGGTCTTACTGTTGTAGAGATATGACAGTATAGTCATAAGGCAGCCTATAGGAGCAGGAATCAGCGCGGACCTTTTACAGGAAATAGAAAAAACTATGCCAGATTGCATATTTACAGCAAGGGGCAGGAGAACCATGTTTAGTCGGTATCGCTCAGCCATGGGCAAAAGTTGTTCTGCAGGTAAATAATATTTAAAGCTGTTTGTCATTTTATGGAAATATTTAAACAGCATATTTCTGTTACTGTAGAAGTTCCAGCACTGCACATAATACCTATCCTTGCAATTGGCAAGGAAATATAAACGGAAGTATAAACAGTTTTTGAAAACTAGCCAATTTTGTGATGCAATGTACTTCAGTTATCTCCCAATAACCAACCATATGATCAGCTGTAAGTATTGTACTAATTACGGTTCAGTTTCACATTATGTCCACAGATTCTCTAGATGTGTTTCACTGTTTTATATAGGAAAGTAGCAGGCTTGTTTAGCACACATTTCGTTCAATCTGGAGACATTGTTTAATGATTACAGATTCAGAACCAGTGATACACCACTATAGCAAGGAACAGCTGCTAGCCTGTAGTGACAGTGTGTACGCCAAACAACCTCCAACAGAATGGTCTTACCTGAAGAAAGTCTACCCAGATATCTGTCTAACAAAGGTGGGATTTCACTTTATTTTGTATCATGGAAGATACTTCCAGAATATTAATGTAAAAACACTTGTATTAATTGTAATCAATTACACAATGATAAATAAGCACATAAAAACATCAAAGGAAACCTTTGGATTAAAAACAATGCTTATAGTGTTACCTTACTTTGCTTGCTTTTTAATCTCGTCCCATTTGATATGTAAAAATTATCCAAAATTTAAGGACCACCTGCCCGAAGGGTGAGGTTATGTCATGGTGCGGCGTCTGTCGTCTGTCCTCGTCCGTCAACTTTTCCTTTAAACAACTTCTTCTGAAGAACTGACTGGCCTAGAGTCATGATATTTGACTGAAAGCTTTGTTGGTAGGAGTCGACAAAATTTGAGAACTAAAATGACCTTGACCTACTTTCAAGGTCACAGGGGTCAAATATGTCAAACACTTCAAACGACTTCTTCTGAAGAACTGAAAGGTATAGAATCTTTGTATTTGGCTGGTGGCTTCCTGGGATAGAGCCCGACAAAGGTTGAAAATGAAAATGACCTTGACCTACTTTCAAGGTCACAGGAGTCAGATATGTCTAATGCTTCAAACGACTTCTGAAGAACTGAAAGTTATAGAACCTAAATAGTTAACTTGTAGCTTTCTGGGAAAGAGCCCAACAAAGTTTGAGAATGAAAATTACCTTGACCTACTTTTAAGGTCACATGAGGCAGATATGTCAAACACTTAAAACGACTCCTTTTGAAGAACTGGAAGGTATGGAACCTTAATATTTGGCTGGGTATTTCCTGGGAGGGAGCCAAACAAAGTTTGCGAATGAAAATGACCTTGACCTACTTTCAAGGTCACAGGAGTTGGATATGTCTTACACTTAGAACAACTTCTTCTGAAGAACTGGAAGGTATAGAACCTTAATATTAGGCTGGGTATTTCAAACTACTTCTGAAGAATTAAAATTCATAAAATCATAATATTTGGCTGGTGACTTCCTTGGATAGAGCTCACCAAAGTTTGCGAATGAAAATGACCTCGACCTACTTTAGAGGTCACAGAGGTCAACAACATTTTAAAGGATTTGTTTTCAAGAACTAAAAGGAATGGATTCATAAGTTTTGGCTGGTAGCATTTTAGAATAGAGCTTACCAATTTGAGAAGGAAAATGACATTGACCTACTTACAAGGTCACAGGGAAAAATATGTCAAGCAACTTCTGAAGAAAAATCTTAAAGCATAGAATCTTATAATAATATTTTGCTGGTGGTTTCAACAGATGGAGCCAACAAAGTTTGCAAGGGAAATATTTTTAGTGCAATATTAATTTAGCACTTCAGAGTTGGTACAAAAAAGTGGTAAAACTAAATCACCAGAATGTGTACATTCACAGTACGGTATTAGATATAGGGTTTTGAGAAGTTCTTTTTACACAACCAATAAGATTTTCTATGTGACGTTTCCATGATTAGTACGATATGTACACTCACCTTCATCAGACAAATGACCAGTGAAGCGTATGCACACAAAGGTGTAAAATGTGTACGAGTTGTCCACAAAATCGAGTCGATTGGGCTACGCTGTAAGCGTATGTACAAGTTGTTATATTTGTACCGAAATGACTCGATTCGGCTATGTCTTGTTTAATTGCTCTCTCTGTCCAAAACTTTGGAGTTATCTCAGTCAATCACATGATTTTTCTGTGTGGCACGGTCCGTGATTGCCGATTTATTTATCTGGGACTCCGACTGCTTCCTTTCTGATCAGATGAATTACTGTATCCTTCTGGTGTTCACCAAGGCGGACCCCAAAACCACCTTCCAGTCTCTCCAATATACGATGCGTCGCAGTTTTTGCATTCGATTTTGTATACGCTCTCTGGGACGTTTTCTTAAGGTGTTTTATCCTTAGGGTGTACTAGGAAATTGCGAAGCATCTTGTGGGGTTTCATGGCTGTTGCTATGCCATGACCCCGATATATCCTCTGGATGGTTTCGGATATACCCTGTACAGGATGACCACTTGACCTTTGGTTTTGTTCTTATCCTTGAATGTCGTTTTCTTATTCTTCTCCTTAGTTTGACACTGTTTTTGTACCCGTTTTAGGGCCCATTCCAGTTATGCACATGTTCTCATTGCCCTAGCAATGTGATTATGCTCTTGTGTCTTCATAATCCATACTTACCAACCTGAAGAAAATGTTCAGAAGAAAAAGAAAAAGTATAGGGTTTGTTAGGCTTCTTCTTGTCTGACACAGACCACACTAGACACTAAACCATTTTGTGTTCTAATATATGACATTCAAAATATTAAGATTCTATTCATGGAGCAGCAAAAAATGCATAATGTCCATTTGACTAAGATACTTTGGCAGAACATATTGCCACCTTTTAATTACTCAACTGCAATATAGAAATTAATATTTTGTATGATGACATTTCAGGTGAGTAACTACTTTGACAGAAAATTTTACCCAAGAAACCCGATGGAGAAAGTTGTGCCGTCCATGATGTGGCAGGCTCTGGCGCGACGTGACTCTGTGCCATCGCATGATCAGGCTGTTATACCGGAGGAGACTTGTACGTGGTAGACGTGTATGTGGGAGTGGATACCTTAATATCTACACTTGTATTGGAGGAGGTGTTAATGGTATAATTATCCTACAGAAGATTTAACTAGTCAGTGTCCAGATGTTAACCATGGACTTAGTCAGTGTAGTGTTAACCCTAGACTTAGTATTCTGTTGATCAGAGTCCTGCTCTAGTGCTTTCAGATAAATGATTAAAATATGTACAAACTGAACATTTTTCTCAGTAAAACACAAACTTCTGTTCATCTGCAGACTTGTGATTGTTGAATGGTGAAGTACCTACTAAGATTTGTGATTGTTGAATGGTGAAGTACCTACTAAGATTTGTGACTTGTAGCAGTGATATTTCACGGCTGGAACTAGTGCTTTGTGTGTGGTCTCCTGACATTTTAATCCAATCCTGACGTGCCCCATGAACTGGTATTATGGAATTGGAGTGTTCTTTTATCCGCTTAGCTGGTCTTTGTGGAAGTAATAGTAGCTGTAGATGAAACCGGAAATACTAATCCGTGTTGATGTAAAAAATACTTCCTTTTTTGTTTCTAGAAGTTGATATGATAATAGTCTGAAAATAATAAGAATGCTTCATGATTTAGCACTGCTACATTCCCGTAATAAAAAACCCAGCGTGATGTGACTATAAAAATGCATTTCTAAGCTCAGACACTCCTGGTGTGTTCGAGTGAGAGGTTAATGAGAAAATTAGCAGGATGAAATTATTGTTGTGATAAACCTCTACAGAAGTGGATACATTTAAATGAAAATCCCTTAGAAATGTATGTATGAATATTTCATGTCATTATCAGTAGTAGACTGTGTATTCCAGATGTGTTATAGAAAAACATACAGTACCAAAATTTGGATTGTACAGAGCTTCTCAGTAAATTTACTTGTGAACTATACCAGAAGGTAGTACAGAAAACTTATGTTCAGTATCATGTACACAACAATATCAGTTATTGGTTAGCATAGCAAGTAATTATACTGTGTCACAGCATCATAGAAGCTTATATAGTGCTACTCTCTTTTGGTCAGTTCAACTATTAAAAACTAGAGTTTCTGGAGAACTTTAATTTGAACTTGAACTTGGTTCAAACAAATTAATGTCTGATTCATTTGATTAGTTACATGTATTTGAAAATGTTTATATTTCAAGTAGTACAATGTAAACATGTTAATTATTTAAAATCTTGTACTAAGCTCAATAATTATGGTTGTGAAGTGACTTGTTAAGATACAATATTTTTTCTCTGATCTTGACAAGTGTTAACCTACACCATCTTAATCTCACAATTTCTATTACTGATGTCAACATTATATAAAAAATATAGTAAGTACAGCATTAACAGTTTTAATATACATTTTGTAATGATAAACCCAACTTACACAATAACGTACTCATTTGATAAATTCACCTTAATAGCCATGCAATACACATAGATATAGTTCTATCTAATACCATGTTATACTGTGTATGTATACCGCATACCTTTTCTTTATTACTGTTAGCCTGAGTTCAAAATCATTGTCAGCAAAGTCGTTACCTAGTCATATCTAGCTATGTATTTTTAGGTCACCTGAGCTTTGCTCAAGTGACCTATTCTAATCGCTTTCCGTCCGTCGTGCGTAAACTTTTTACATTTTCAACTTCTTCTCAAGAACCAGTGGATGGATTTTTTTCAAACTTGGTCAGAATCATCCTCAGTAGATGAGGCTACAAAATTGTAAAATTGGGATTTCTACCCAAACCCCTGGGGCCAGGGCGGGGCCCCAAAGGGAAAATTAACCAATATTTCAAACATCTTCTTCAGACTCAGAGGTACTACACTCATTTTCTCTGCATGGAAAGAAAGATCATCAGGGGCTTTACTTAAATTATAAATTTCAGGACCCCCCTGCTATTCGTTCTCCATTGGGGAGGGGGTAAAGTTTACTATAGTTTATATAGGGAAATAACAGTTTTGGGTATATTTTGACAACTTTCGGTAGGAAATTATTTTTACTTGGAGAGAATTATCCTTGGAGGAAGATGGTTTCAAATTGTAAAATTGAGAATCCTACCCCAACCCCCTGGGGCCAGGGCGGGGCCCCAAAGGGATAATTAACCAATATTTCAAAAATCTTCTTCTCCAGACTCAGAGGTACTACATTCATTTTCTCTGCATGGAAAGAAAAGCATCAGGGGTTTTATTCAAATCGTAAATTTCAGAACCCCCAAGCTATTTGTTCTCCCTTGGGGAGGGGGTAAAGTTGACAATAGTTTATATAGGGAAATAACACTTTGGGGTATATATTTTATCCATTTTCAACAGAAAATTACTCAANCGTTCTCCCTTGGGGAGGGGGTAAAGTTTACTATAGTTTATATAGGGAAATAACACTTTTGGGTATATATTTTATCCATTTTCAGCAGAAAATTACTCAAACTTAGTCAGAATCATCTTTGGTGAATGAGAGTATTACTTTGTAAAATTAGGATTCCTGCCCCATCCCCAGGGGCTAGGGCGGGGCCCCAAAGGGAACATTTACCAATATTTTCAAATTCTTATCCATTGATGACATGACAAGTATTGTATTTCACTTAGTTTACATGCTGATTTCCACATCACATCTAAACAATAAAATAAAGCTACCAGTACCTATGATATAACTCAGGTGACCACTAAGGCCCTTGGGCCTCTTGTAGTATGATCTGTTCAAACCAGAATACAACTTTCCATACCTGTGTTCATTAATATGTTTAACTTCTTGTTTTAGAAAAGACTTACTGCTGGTGGTATATAAAATATATATTTATTACCAGGTTGTTCTTGCCACACATCAATACAACTTAGAGCTGTTCCAGAGAATTACCTGTTGGGGAGGGGTGGGAGGCAGGTTTTCAGAGACACCACCCATTAACTCTCAAAAGTGATTTAATATAAGGAATGGTAGGCAGATCTGGTTTAGACCTCACCACCCATGATATATCAATACTTGCAAAACTTATGAAACAGCCCTCAATGGTTTTATATGCATTTTATAACTCGTTATGTTAGAAGAACATTAATGTAAACACCATTACTAGGTCACCTTTGTCATCCATGACTATTCAGCAACTTACCACATTAGTGATCTTTGTACATGTACTTTACCTGTTATTATATAAGTTCATGTCTGTACATTCTATATCTGTAGTAACAATAGGTCTTCTTTACCACATATGAATATAACTTACCTTTAATAGTACACCTGTCTGATTATATTTTAGTGTATTTAACCTGTTACCTGTTGTTGATTTTTATTTAACTCCTTTTGGTCAGTATATCTGTATCCTTAGTTTTACTTGAATAAATACCTGAGTATATGAATATGCTATGACTTGCTAAAATACTAATAGTAGTGTTCCAATTTTTTTAGTGCAAATACATACAGACATGCATACTTTTCAGTGCAATATACATACACATTGCTGATTACGTAAATATTTAGTTAAGTTTTGTTTTATTATTAATAGTCCGTTGCTGATGTACATTTATGCATAATATATTGATTACCTGTTTAGAAAATCTTCCTTATGCTGTGTCTCTATCATTTGGTTTACCTTGTCATATTTATACAGCTTGATTTTTGTCATCATTTTATGAACAATCAAGTTACTGAAACACAGCTCAATCACAGTTCGATACAGGTGATGCATACGTGTATATAAGTATACCCAGAGAGACAAAATGCTGCTTTTCATCATGTCACAAAACTTTGAATTTCCTGGTATGTATTTATCTGCAATACGTTATATAATCTCATACATTCAGATACATACAGAAATTTAATCGCTGTGAATTTAACATCCTAGTAAAAATTGTGAAAATAAAAGCCGAGAAATTAACCTAATTTACTGTGTACTTCAACATATCAATCAGTATATAAACGATATATACTTTTGCACCTAATTTCATGTCCATCATATAAAAGCTTAAGTCTTTCAATTCTTATATGAAAAGAAAGTCAATTGTGAAATGCAAAAAAAATAAACACCATGTAAAACATAACGTGTATACTAGTCGGCTCTTCTATCTTGTTTCTATGTCATTTTGTAAATTGTCATTGTATTTTGATAGTTTCACCAGTCATAAACTTAGATATATTTGTTGTTAAACATTTGGTTTTGTTTTCCGTTATGTTTTATACCTTTTATTTCCTCCATGTATGTGATTTTTCAAAGACATTGAGAATATATTTACCACGATATGGAAGTCCTACTGTATGTGATGATTTAACAGACTTCCGTCTAAATCCAGTCCACTTCATTGTGATCGAAATACAAATCAGGGACATTATCAACCAAGTATAATACACCATGTTGTGTAAATAGGTATTACACCTTATATAAAAAAATGTAACCATAACCATATCATATTTTATATTAACAAATAAATTCCATAAAACTCACATTATTCCTTATTGTACCCACACCTCTTTCCTTTATATCAATATATTTGTCTGTGTATCCACGTCCTCTTTCCTTTATATCAATATTCCTGCCAGTATGTAACGAAAACTTTCTTTTTTGAGTATCAATAATTTTTTGTCTTCCGTGTAAGTATTTTCCTTACGTCTGTGTTGTATCCATACTCTCCTTTGTTATTTGCCTGTGCCTACCTGTTATTTCCCACACAACCACATACCTGTATGAACATATTAATTACAAAGTTCTAGCTGTATTCATCATGTGACACTGATGAGGACGCCAAACATATACATACATGTACAAATCGTTGTATTACATTACATTAATGATTTTTTGTTAGAAGTATGGAGTAAGTGTCCTGAGTTACATCTAAACAGGAAAATACATCAATGTGATTTCAAGCATTTGATGTTCATACTGTTACAACAAAACCAGCATATTCATTATACAAGCAAGATATTTTGGATAATAAATATGTTACCTGTGTACATATCATCAGTACAAGTCTTACACTCCCTATCAATCTCAAGGGCCCGTATTCATGAAACTGTTCTCATGCTCAAACTCAGATTTTTTGCTCAAACCCAGTTTCTTTATCTGGTAATAAATCAATTATACTTCACATTATAATTATCACTTTAATTTGGAAGAAATGGGGAGATATTTAGGGCAGAATATCATTTTCAGGGTTTACACCTGACTTTTTTACAATGTCATTTAATTTAAGTTACAAGATAGGTGGTTTGAGCACAGTTTAAATGCCTGAGCGTGAGATCAGTTTAATGAATATGACCCCAGGGACTGTTCCCTGCCAATATATATCACTTATTAACTGCTGAATGTGATCTTCTGTTGTTTCTATTATAACTATATTATACAATGTTCATAGAGGTAATGTGGGTTCAGTTACATGCTACAATGCTTCATTTAAAAGCAAAGCAAGCTATTGCCAAGTTTTTTGTTGATCTGTAACTTAAAAAAAGCCAACTGCTGTCATGTATTGTGTTGTGAATTAGAAGAAGGGAAAGATATTGTTAATATTTCATATGTCATACATGTACTGAAATCATACCGGTTCTAGGTATACTGTATTATCTGATGTCATGCTGAAATCGTGCTGATTTTATACTGTTTATCTGATGATATACCGAGACCTTGCTGATAGTTGATATGCCAGATTTTCTGAATATCACATTGTAGAGAATTTTGATTTAATACTAGGTAACAGTATACAAATTATTTCACATAGTTATGTATCACTACCTAATAAATATATACATCTAGTCAATTAATTACCCAGTTCATATCATACAACCTAAGAATTATTCCCCCTTAGATTATATTTCACCCTACATTACATTGTGTTGAAATATTTTCTAATTGTCAGGTAAATGTTACTTTAGGAATAAGTATGTTTAAAAAGCTGCAATATTAAAGTTATATAATGTAATTTACACTGTAGTTAGTTTTATACAAGGGGTTACTAACATGCTTTTGTGATAACTATTGATTCTGAATGAGCATCATGTCCAGGGGAAGGGGAGTTTTATAAAAGGTAAACAGGTAAACAGATGTGGTTTAAATAGGTGTGTGCTGTTAAGTCTGTGATGTAAACACGCCGTGTTATAAGGTGGACAGTGGTAACAGTCTGAAAGGTGGTATAGTAAAAGACAACATAAAACTCTCCTTATTTGTAAACATAAAGTTTCAGATGTACATTGCAAATTTGAAATATCATTCTTAGTTACTTTTTATTGTTATTATTTACCCATTATTATTATTTTTTTAATTCATAAGTATAGAAAAGTAAACTTCAGTGGGGAAAAAATTTAAATGACAAAGTGACAATATAAATTGTTGGATGTTAACCTTAGGGAGCTTGGTATGTGATAATGTAGTTTGTTTTTGTTATCCTGTATTTGTATTGTATATAAAGATGTTTATTATTGTTACAACTGGTAGTTTAGAACATAATCGATCACTATAGAATGTTTATGTCACTGTGTAGGTTGTGTAGAGTGACATTCCACACAGATTCAATAGTCAGTTAAAACTTGCATGTTGTATATTACACATCAGATGTGCATTGTAGAGATATCTGTTAACCTTCAAATGACACCCTGCATCCCAAATTGGTGTTTGATTCGGTACTGAACATATCAACGAATACTAAGG